CTAATTATGCATCTATAATCCTATTGAAAAGCATGACTGATTTTAAAGAAAGAAATTCACAATATCTTAAGCTGCTAAAGAAATTACACTTAATAAACAAAATAATATCCATGCTGTAGGGGGTTATCCCCAAAATTAAAAGATCAGTTGGACTGATATGTTTGTCTAAAGAAAAGAGGCTCATATTTGCAATTGCCTCGAGGAAAAATCCGTTTAATATTAACTTGTATGGCCATCATTTCTATCTGGTGTGCCTGTTGAAATAAAATCTGATCACAGCATTTCTGTGTTGGACAGGCAAAATATTAAATCAATTAGGATTTGTGACTTGTATACAACAAAATTAGATACTTTAAAGGGCATCCAAGTGCATTACATAAGAATAAATTAACCCATTATTTTCCTTTCAGTATTTTTCTTCTTTAAAGCTAAACTCCATTCTACCTGTTTTGTTTTCTCATTCTTCCTCCCTTCCCTAACCCACATCCAGCCTTCTCTATTACCCACCACTGTACCTTTTCTCCACTCTCAGCCCCATTTCCTTTTTTTCTGGAGTGTGTGGTGAAACAGAAAATGAAACACGTTTAATAAACGGAGATTGTTCTTTAAAAAAAAAAAGGCTAAACTCCAATCTTAAAAGAGATATTATTAGAATGAAGTCTTGCCATTTGCAATAACATGGATGAACCTAGAGGGTATTATGCTGAGTAAAATAAGTCTGACAGAGAAAGACAAATACCATGTGATTTCACTTGTATGTGGAATATAAAAAACAATGAACAAAGCTGAAATAGACTCACAAACAACAGGCTGGTGGTTGCCATAGGGATGGAGGGGGAGGATGGATAAAATAGGTGAAGGGGATAATGAGATACAAACTTCCAATTACAAAATAAATTAGTCACCGGGATGAAAGTAGAGCACAGGAACAATATTGTCATATCTTTGTATGTTGACAGATGGTCACCTACACTTATCATGGTGAACATTTTGTAATGCATATAATTGTCGAATCACCATGTTGTACAAATGAAACTAACAGAATATTGTATACCAACTATACTTCAATAAAAGAAATTTTAAAGCACATGCCCAAAATTAAAAAAAAAAAAAAGAGCTATGTTGTTTCCCCCCAAAGGTTAAGGCCAAAGTCCCAGCATATCCTCAGTAAAAAAAAATCTACCAAGGTGGAGAATGGGTGCATGCCTGACTTGCTTGAACTTACGAACACTAAAAACGGGGGCAGGGTGGGGTGGCAGGGAGGGGAAAGGGGTCATGTTTGTGAACTATGTATCTGGCTCCGGCGGTACATCACACACCCCCATCCCTTTGGGTAAATAGATTACTCGGTGTTCACTGCCTCTGGGGAGAGAGAAACAGACACCAAGCCCTTGGTCTTAGAATGAAGAGGAACCAGAACCCGGGTGAAACACCCGGAAGAAACACCATTCATTCTGCTAATACTTCCGTATTTATCATCTGCCGTCTCAGAGCCAGGCGCAGAGCTCCAAAGTGGTGATAGAGCCATGAACGGGGCACACAGGTCTTGGGTTTATGTTCAGAACAGAACCCTCGAGAATGGAAGAGACTTCCCTGGGCTACAGGGATTGGGGAGTGAGGAGGAGGGATGGTGAGACGGGGCAGCAGTGGGCTCCCGAGAGAAGAGCCCAGGCCCCGCTTCTGAGTCAGAACCCCTGCAAAGAAGAAAAATGGGAGGGAAATCTGCAGACCTGACTACGTAGGAGCGCTGCACCCTGCTTCTTGTATTGTGGCCACAGGAAAGGAAAAAGAACCAAATAGGTTATGGTTGTAGGTGTGTCTGGGCAGATGGAGCCACAAGCAATCTACGTGCCACCGGCAGTCTGAAGCATCAGAATGGCGCTCAAGCCCTCAAGTGTGGAAGGAAGTATGGAAAAGAGCAGCTGGATGCTGTGAGGGCAAGGCTCAATTCTGCCTGTCAAAATACAGAAAGAGATACACAACCCCACTCCCTTTTCATAGAACATTTACTATGGAAACCTTGTAACTGCACATTCCTTCTGTCTTTGAAATAGAAGTAAATCTTTTAAAAAGCTCAATAAGCTTTTGGCCAGCTTTACAACTCTCCATTACCTCCCATACAAAATCCAGCCTTCATAGCCTGCCTTCCACAATCTGACTCTGAACCACTTCTTTTTCAACCATTTCCTCTATAATGCTTTCTCCATCTTGTCTCCCCACCACCTGCCCCAAGAAGTCACCTCTCCTCTTCAGAACTCCTCTAGCACCTTTCTGCACCCAGCACACTTCTGTGCAAACAGTAGCCATCCAATAACCAACTGAATGACTGGCTTTCAGTCTTGAATTCTGACTCCCAGGGGTCAGGGAGCTCACTTTCAGGAAGGTCCCTAGAGCCAGTCTCCTCAGCCACAGTATTTTGGCAGTACTGAGGTGTGTTATAACTAATTTATTCCTATTGATAAAGTGCAACATTTTCAAATGATTTACTTCTAATAACTGGAGTGGGCTCAAGCTGATCCTTGTAAGAATGACACTCCTGCTTATTTGCATCCCGTTATGATTTCTGAAGCATAAGAGAGCATGTGTAATTACAGTTAGTGCCCTGAGAATTGCATGGACCTGCAGTTCCATACATGCCACAGGGTTCAATGAGCTATTGTTACTGATTTTTTTTAATAGAGGGCTATATTTTTGAAAAGTAAATTAGCAATATTTTTTCCTTGAAAAATGAAATTTGAGATCTTGAAATAGTGAACTTGATTATTCACATGTTTGCAGAATACCTTTCTAAATTCTACTCCTCCCCCTGATCTTATAGAAACTTAGCACTGTCTCCTTTAATCTAGGATGCACATGGAGTGTTTCAGGCATGGAATGCTCATTTGTATGAGGCAGTGGGGCCCAAATATTAGAGGTGCACTGTTCAGGACAGTAGCCGCTAGCCACGTAACTATGGAGCCCTTTAAATGTGGCTTGTCCAAACTGAGCTAAAAAAATACACATTGGAATTCAAAGATAGTTTCAAAAACAAAGAATGTAAAATATCCCATTAGTATTTTATGTTGATTACATGTTGAAATAATTATATCTTGGATATATCAGGTTTAATAAAATAAACTATTAAAATTAGTTTCGCTTGTTTCTCTTTATACCTCTCAATAAGGCTACCTGAAAGTTTTAAATTACATATATATTTTTTGCATTTGTGGCTCACCTTGCATTTCTGTTGCGAAGTCCTGCTTTAAGGCGTGGAAATACCTGGGAGGCGTGTTTAAAATGCAGGTTGCAGGACCAGACCTCTGTGTAATCCCCTTCAGCTCTCTGTAGTTCAGGCAGACATTAGCAAGAGCTACATAAAGTAATGATTGTAACTCTTTTCTTTCTTGTTCCTCCTCCTGCTACCTAGTGCCTGATAATCTTTATACTTCTCACCTGCAATTACCAAGAAAGAGAATCAGTTTGGCCTAGACAATCCTAAGTGACTGTCTTCAGTCACAGCTGTGATCAGGCTGCCTCCTAGGTCTCTGACCATGTACCGGCTGTCCTTTGGTCTGGCGTCCATCCCCAGCCCAGTCAATTGTGGTTGCAGAGGAGGGTGGAGAAGGCATGGGTCAGGTGAAACTGAGCATAGGAATGGCCTGGAATCCCCTCTCAGCCGGGGCTGTGGGTGGCCAGATTGTTTGGAGGACACTGTGGGAAAGCCCAGCACAGACTGGCCTGGAGATGGCAGTGAGTTCATTCAGAAATTAAAAGGACATGATGCACATTCAAAGGCCCTGGGAGCATCAGAGCCAAAAATTGATTATTTCCTAAACTGCTCTCTGGATACAGTTCAAGTGGCCAAGTCACTCTGCAAATAACAATAATGATAGATCTATTCTCAAAAACATTTCAGCCACATCTAACAACTAGCTGGCCAGATTAAACAAGGAATTTAGGTGTGGAGAGAGAATGCAGAGGCAGACCAGGCAATATAAGAATCATAGCCAAGCAAACAAACTTCCAGTCCCAAGGTCATCAATAAATTACATATAACCTTGGGCAAGATGCCCTACCCCTTCTGCCCAGGCTTGTCATCCTTTCTAGGATTGTGAAGACTGGATGGGATGATAGATATAAAGGTGCTTTATCAGTAAGAAGGTTGCACAAATGGTTATACTTACAAGTATGAGTTGTCATTAACTATATGCTTACTAATGAAGGAGTAACCCCACAATGAATCTTTCCTCCGTGAATGCACCCTGCCTGGGACCGTCTGGTTGTATTTCTTTGGCCTCATGAAAATGTTAGAAGTGTTCACTCTCAGCTCTCATACTTTATTAGCACTTATTTCTAGTTATAGCTTCATCTGTAATATGCCTTAAGAAATTTACCTCACTGCATCAAAACCTGCCATCAGGCCAGCAGCCTGCCATGAGCCACACATCATGCATTTAAGGAGTATGGTCAATCAGTTTGATGGTGAATGACAACTCTCAACTTAATCTGATGGTAACTTTGCCAGTAACTTCCAGAATATTCAAGATTTACAACATATTCCAATGGCAGGATTTCTGTTTAAATAACCCAGATGGTGAGAAAAACTGCAAAAGAAAATTTTAGCTATCATGTTTTGGACCCAAATTTATTTCCATGCAAAATCTTGGGAAAACAAAATGTGATTTTCTTTATGTTATGCCCCCTTTCCTTTTCATAAGATAAAATTAACTTTTTTTCCTTCAAAAGTGCTCAATTTTACAGAGAATCAATTCAGGAATACTAAGGATGTTCTCCTTTTACTGTTCCTTTATGGAGAGTCTGACACTTCCATTATATCGACAGCAATAGGAGGAAAGGGTTTGCATAATTGATTAGAAGCAAGAGAATTTCCGTGGCTTCTGAAAAAGGAGCTCTGCGTCTTTAAGGCTCCACGGAGCTCTCTGGTCCCGACGCAGACAGGGCAGCTCTGCCGCAGCAGCGACTCATCCTATCGATAAGGTTCAGTTAGCCAAGGTGGAGGATGGGAAAAGAATGGAGCTGTCCCAGCTACTCAATGAGATCAGGGCAAACTATGAAAAGCTCCTCACCAGAAATCAGATAGAGACCGTGCTCTCAACAAGGATCCAGGTAATGATTTCATACAGACAGGCACCTTCCAGGATAAGGAGACAATCCATGTCTATCCAATTCCTGTCCCGGCCTCTCTGAGGTACAGTATTTCCTTTTCAATGCAGCATATAATGGGGAAGGAATTTAGGTTTAACTGCAATGTGGCTGGGATTACAGGGGGAAAATGCTGTGATTATACTGTTAAATGGCCATTAAATAAATGTTGATCGATGCACTTGATTTTTATATCAATTAGGAGGTTACTATTATTAACAAAACATGGGGCCACCATACAATAAAATGGTACACTCTAACCTCTTTTAGACATCCTTCAGGAAGGAGCATTTCAAATCCCCTTCAGTGATATTACGGAGCTATTTAAACAGATAGTTTAAATAATATTTTTTAAATGACAAGCTTTATACTAAGATTTATTAGCTTGCACACTTTGTAGAAATAAAACTAAGTAAAATATTTCCAAAAGGTTTCTATCATCTTTTCTAATGAGCTCAGTTGTATGCCAGATTGTCATAAATAGAAATTATCTGAGATGTGAACATTGCATTCAGAAACGATATAAATTGGGACAATCAAAAATTCCCTAAATGGAGAATGACTTTCCATTTAGACTGTAGATATTTGCTTTTGAATGATAAAATGAGAAATTTTCATTTTCAATACAAAGCATGAAATACTTAATTTAAAAACAAAGAGCCAAGTTAAGTAAGGACTAAATCTTAATTTCACAGACTTATTTTTGTTTTAAAGTGACAGTCACATTTAGGAATTAATTAAGGTTTCAAATCTTTAAACAAATGTACAGATATTTTGTAAGCAAAGATCCAAAACATTCAGAGATTTTTTTCTTTTTAGTTCACCTATCATATTTGAGTTCAAATTTAATTCCAAGCACCGAAATAGAGCAAAAAGTTAAGAATATTACCAAAAGAGAAGAAATTATTGCTAGGAAATCACAGGACTTTATGCTATTAGCAATTAATTTTTAGTAACATTATAAACTTTACCTCTGGGTAACATTTTCAGTCTTCATAGAGAATGATCAGTATCCTAGATCAAGCAAAGTCGCTGGGATATTGATTTATGTATTGGAGTAGTTCACTCACCCTTTACAAAGAGAAGGACAAAATGCATAGATGACAATTTCTGAAAATTATAAACATTTGTAGAAATACAGTTATTTAGTTTATAAGTTCACAATACTGAAATGAGAAAATTAAAGTGAAAAGGCAGGATTACATACAGTAAGTTTTGTTTAGAGTCTTTTTAACATAAAACTGCTTTAGAAGGTTTTTTTCATGGAATTCAGAAAGTCATCAGCAATAAATAAAAGAAAGTCTGATTAATTATTATAAAATAAAGAAAAATATTATTTTAGTTACTTATTGCTGTGTAACAAACCACCCCAAAATTTCGTGGGTTTAAACCACCATTGTATTCTCTCTCATGATTCTATGGGTTGACTAGGTTCAGTGGGTGTAATTCTTCTGATGCGTGTGATGTTGGCTGGAACAGTGATCATCTTGGGGCACAACAGGGCTGGGACATCCAAGGTAGCTCACTCAGTGTGTCGCACACCCTGGCGGGGGTTTTTGCAAGGCTGGCTCAGCTCAGAAAACTGGGGCTATCTCCCTCCATCTGGCCCCTCTACATGATCTCTCTACCAGGGTTTCCAGACTTCTTCCATGTTAGCTCAGGGTTCCCAAAAGCATAGAAGTGGAAGTTGTCAGGGCTTCCTAAGGTATAGGCCCAGAACTGTCACTTCCACCACATTCTACTGGCTAAAGCAAGACACAGATCAGCCCTGATTCAGTGTGGAAGGGGACCAAACAAGGACGTGAATTTGGGGAAATGTGGTTCATCGGGGACCATCTTCAGAATTGGCCTCCCTACCACACAAGTCTCACCGCCAGTTCCCTACACAAAATCCAAAAAGACCACTATATACCCACGTTTTTATGTTTTTCTATTTCCTAAGTTCCTGACATCCTGCTCTGGATGTGGGTTGCTGTGTGACTTTGCCAACTTAACAATAAGAACAAGTGATACAACAAACCAAAAGAAATGTATGAATTTTGTTGTCTAATATCTTGCCCTGAAGTTCATTCATAGATGTCCATTTACTCCAATGTTTCCTGTCTAAAAACCATCTATTATACCATTAAATTAAGTATTTTTATTTTAAAATGAAGTTTTATAAAAACATTTAAAAATTGTAATTTTTGCTTCAAAATACCACAGTCAGTTCCATGCATTGCTCCTTCTGCTCTCTTGGGGGCCAAATGTTGAGAATTCTGTTAAAAGATACTTTCATTTAATTCAGACATCAGCATAAAAATATGTAAGGCTGAATAAAAAACATTCCAGTTGTTACTTAATATGATATTTAGAAAACAATCTTTAAGGATGTCATTTTTTGCTACTTCCCTAGATATCCCAAATAAACATCCCTTCTAAAAAGATCATTTTGAAGAAGATAAATCAACGGTGGGTTCTCTGAATACAGCAGTCTACTTTAGAACCTCTAATGCCTACAATAACTGAATTCTCTAGATTATTCACAATATACTTTCCAGCAGTATTTACTCCATGTCCATATATCAGTCCCAAAATTTATCTCTTTAGGGTATAGATGTATATCTGCTTTTATAAAGCAGCCTACAAGAAAATAAGGCAGAGGAGAGTAGCTAATTTTCAACCCTTCTTCCTCAACGATGCCATAAATAATGGAAAGTTAACAATAGGTCTCCAACCCAGGTCCTGCAAACTGTTACTTTTCCTTACAATAGAAATATTTGTCTGCATTTCACAGACTGTCATAGTAGGATGGGACTTCGGAGGTTCATCTTATATCTGAGAAAACTGAGGCTGAGAATGCAACTGACTTCTCATCTATTTGATTAATTAGTAACTAAGCACTAGGACACACATTGGTAACCTTACAATTTAAAGGGAAAATGCTTTGCTACTTATATAGCTTTTCTATGACGTTTAAATGTCCCATTTTCAAGAGTGCTCTTTGTTGTTGTGCTCTTGTTGTTGGCTTTCTTATAGCTAGAGGAAGATATAAGCCAAAAAATGGACAAAGATGAAGAGGCTTTAAAGGCAGCTCGGGCAGAACTCAAGGAAGCGCGACGCCAGTGGCACCACCTGCAAGTGGAAATTGAATCTCTCCAGGCTGTGGTGAGAATGATCTCAGAAGCGACTGGCCCATTGAGTCCCCAGCTGTTACCTGAGTAAGAGAGAGAGAGGAAGAATGCCCATTACCTTACAGAGAGAAATGCAAAATCAAGGCCACTGAATTTTATCCTTGGTCCTACTTCAACTACCCTCTCCCTCCACCATGACAATGGCTATTATCAATTTACTCAAGGTTTAGTTCATGCCTCTGGAAATGAGGATATCCTTGCTTATCCTCCTGGGGTTCTCTAATTGTTATAGCGCAGGAACTCGACCTTGTCATTATCCAAAGCCACACAGTGGGAAGTCTTTTTTCCATACCACTGAGACTGCCAATGGGAAAAAATACTTAAACGCTTTCCTAAAATGCCTTTTATAAGCAGTCTGCTCTGGCTTTGACATTAAATATTCTCTATTTCCAATATTTAAAAAAGCAAATAAGTCAGTGACAGTAAGTTAGTCACACTGCAGTGTTAAGTTCTTTTGTTTTTTGGTGTGTGTGTTTTTTGGTCACAAGAATCATCACGGGATTCCTTTGAAATAGAAATCTCTCTAGCCGTCTATATAAGGTATGGATGATTTTTCACATTTGGGTTATACACAAAGCTATAAAGAAATACGTCTTGCATTAGTGATGGTGATTACTGCAACCTTTTTAAGAAGAGAGCGCAGTAGAATGAAGACATTGCAAATCGGATTTCAGAAACACATTTTGTTTCCACTGATTTACTGATAAGGATCTATATGAAACAGGAAAGGGGCCTTGAAAACTCCCTGCAAGCCAGTGAGCAGCATTACCAGATGCAGCTGCAAGACCTAGAGGCCGTGATTGAAGGGCTAGAAAAAGAGCTCCAGGATGTAAGGCACGGCATCGAAAAGCAGCTGCAAGAGCATGAGGCGCTTCTCAACACGAAGATGAGGCTTGAACAAGAAATAGCCACCTACCGCCGCCTCCTAGAAAAGGAAGAAATCAGGTACCTAATTCCATAGTTAACGACAAGTGCCCAGAAATACAGCACCACTTATGTCATCGTTGATGTAGTCAAAGAAATCAAATCTGAAAAACCCATCATCGTCATGGCACCCACACTGAGTTCCTACAACAGAGCAGGATTGATTAGTAGGCATTGCAAAGAACCCCTGGAAGAGCTATTTCCAGCCTCCCCAAATCATGAGCAAAATAGCCAAAGCTGGGGACATTAGCTGCAGCAAAGAGCACATCAAGCCTAGAACAAAACGTAAACAATTCTCAAACACTACAAAAATGACTTTTCTCAACTCTCTCTCTTCCCTTGCCATTCATTTTTTTTAGAAGTCAGTACCTTCTATGACCACCCGCAAAGAAAGCTTGGAAAATTCACATGTTATTACCACACACCCACCCTACTCCCACGGTACATCAAACACTAAAATAAAATCATAATCATAATCATAATCATAATGTGATTAGAGTACAACCAGGGAAAGCAATATTGTTCTGAGTACATGATTTAAAAGCCTTGCAGATGTCCTGATAACCAAAGGTATCAAAAGAGGAATTCTTATAAATTCACCCAGTTTCATAATCTGCAATTACTTATAAGGTCATAACAGCTTTGAACACAGCACAAACTCCAATTTTCTATGTTCCCATGAAAAGAAACCTTTATTCCCTCTGCTCCAGTATTGTGAGTCCCCTATAAAACTAGATGAAACTACTTTAGCCTATAAGTCTTGACATTTTCTGTATCTTCGAAAAACACAAATTGAATTTAAAAATACCACCTACTAGCTGAGGGAAACTGGGCAAGTTACTGAACCTCTCTGTGCCTCAATTTTCTCACCTATAAAGTGGGAATGATACTACCTACCTCATAGGATTGCTGTAAGGATTAAATGAACTAATGCTTGTAAAGTGCTTAAAACAGTGCTAGTTAAATACATACACTCACACACATGTTTTTCATTATTAAATAAAATAAATGGTTGTGAATTTTATTGAATGCATAATCATTCAAGATGTTGATAAAGTGGTTTTTAATAATCTTTTAATACAAGAACTTTTTATTATGCTATATTTAAGGTATACAGGAAAGTATCAAAAAATATAATGAATTCCCATGGATAGCTTAAGAAATGTAACATTTTTAATATTGTTGAAATCCCCCCAAACTCCACCTCTAAACTGTATCTCCCTATCTCATCCCTCTCCCTCAGTCTAAGCTGGCTCCCAAATTTGATGCTTATTTGTTTTATACATTTATACATATTAATATGTATGTATCCCTAGACAAAAAATGAAATTGCTTTGCACATTATTTAAACTTTATAAAATGAGCTACAACTTAACTTCTTTTCCACTCAATGTTATACTCGGGAGAGTCATCCATAAAGATACAGTGTATACGTAGTTCATTTATTTTCACTGCTACATAGTGTTTCCATTGTTTGAAAACACTAGTTTATCCATTCCCTTATTAGTGAGCATTTGTCTTAATTATATGCTAATACAATGTTGCTCCTATAATAATCTTTCCCATTTCAGGTATTATGGCTGTATCCAAGGAGGGAAAAAAGAACAAAAACCTACCACAAGTAGAGTTGGTTTTGTTTTACCTTCAGGTAAGTTTCTGACATAAGTAAACTAACTTGAAAAGTGAAGTGCCATTTATAGGGATGATAAATAAGTACTCTAAAGTACCAAAAAATACAAGCAATAGTGGAATAAAATTTGACATAAATTGACTTGAATAGTACTTCAACATTGTAATTCAATATTTCATAAATAATGTTTCACAGCCATTATAAATGAAATATCTTTTTCAACAAAAGTCCCACAAAAGTGTGAGAACGAAAAAGTGGAAACAGTGACCAAACAGGCCATATTAAATGGAAATACCGTAAAGGAAAGCACCGAAGCTCATGGAACAATTCAGTAAGTAAAATAATTTTGACTAAGAATAATAATAAATATATGCAAAGAAATTAATTTCATTCGAGTCATCTCAGTAAATCTGTGAATGTTTCCAAACCTAATTTTAATATGCTGTGATTTTTAATCTGACATGAATAAACATATATAAACAAAATGAAGGTGCACTCAATGCTTAATTCACTGTTTTTCTAAAAATATAACCAGAACATGGAAATTCCATAGAATTCCTTAGAAATTATATTCATGATTTCTGAAGTATGCAAACTATAAATTCCACAATGTAAATTGTGAATTACAACTTAAAATGTGAATTTTAAATTATACAAATTTGATTTCTTTTTGATCTGGAATACATATTACATAGTTTAAAATTTGTCTGTACTTCTTCATATAGAAAGGCTTATTTTATCATTTCAGGACAGAGAAAGTGGATGAAGTTATTAAAGAATGGGAAGGTTCCTTCTTTAAAGATAACCCTCGATTAAGGAAAAAATCTGTTTCTCTTCGATTTGATCTTCATTTAGCAGCCACTGATGAAGGGTGTTTACAGACTAAGCAGGATAATCTACCAGATATAGAAGTCAGGCTTATCATGAGAAGATCATGCAGCATCCCCTCTATCAAACCTCCCTCAGCAGATAAGTAATCCAAAGACAATATTTGGCTTGATATGAAAATGACATTAGGATGGACCAAGGTGGACCATGCTGACCGCCTTCTGTCCCAGAATGTAAGTTATTAAGTGCGTATGTTATGATCTACGTGTGGTTCTCTCCCCAATTAAAAAAAAATGAAATAAGGGACAAAATTTCTTTGAGTCTAATTATGGATGTATTTTTTGGAGAAGGGGAGCTTAAAAATAGAATCAGAAATTCAGTATGGTTTCTACTTTATTTACTCTCCATTTTTTATTTTATTTACTCTATTTTGTTTACTCTTATTCTTCTTTTTCCCTTGAAATTGTATCAGAAACTATAAGCATTAAGTTGGCTTATTTAAGTCTTTGAAATTTCACTTAGTGGCTGAATATTCTAAGGAAAAGGGAATAATAGTTTGTTTAAATGTGATCATATTACGTTAGAATCATATGTAGTTATTCATCATTATTCCATGACTGGTTATTTCTATAAAGATTTTTCTACTGAAAAAAGAAAGTATAACAAACTTTTAACTATAAAACAAACTTTTAAAGGTGACTCAGTATTCACTGAACGAAAATGTTGTCTTTTGAGACAATCATTTGCACTTAGAAAAATGTTACTTTCCGTGAGCAGTTCTGAACAAACTACAGAATGCAACCCCAGGGCTAATTTGATGATTAAATAAAATTAAGTTGATCTTCATCTGAAAGGTTTTTGTAATAATTATCTAATTTCTAGAAAAGTTACTTTATTCAAAGAACTTTAAAGGTTGTGCCCTCCCTCCCCCACAAAAAAATCAGAAGGCCAGCTGCACAAGTAAAACATGAAGTTTGTTACTAGTTACTAGAACAGACTTATCCAACCTATCACTATCCCAACTTTTCCATCTGTAAACTTAAATGTGATTAATTTGAGAATTTGATGCAAACATTAGATATTTGAAAGTATTATAAATATTTCTTGCAATCATCTATGTGAATTACAATAACAGTATTGGTATCTAGGCTAAGACTATTTGCAGGATTTAAGTTTTTAAATTGTTCAAACTGTGATAAATACGGACAGAAAATATATTTGTGAATAAGTCAAGTATTGTTGCAAAGTTTTTTAAACAACCTAACTTGTTTAATACAGGTATACTTATTTTAAGAACCTAAATAATAAATACCTGTTTTACAACATTATAAGTTTATAGGCTATTTTTTTCTAAGCAAAAAAAAATGTTGAGTATAACCGGCCATAATTTTTTCCCAGCTAAGGTATCATGTAAGGGCTACAGCTATGTTAGCACTTTAGTACAGCTTTTGTGATCTCTTTCTCCTCTATTTCAACTAGAAAGAAAAATGTATATTTTAACCAGAAGAAAATGATGTTAAATCTTTAACATATTACAAGGATGTAAAATGTAAGATTTTCTTTAAATTACTTCAGATTTCTTTTAGCCTGGCTTATTTTATTTAATGAAAGGAATGATTTTGTTTTGTCAAGGATAAACAGCATGTTAAATGCTTATTCTTGCATAAGCATCTGACCTCCTGACATAAACATCCTATACGTAAATGTTTTCATTCAGTATTAGTTAAATGTTACTAACTTTATTAAAGCTTTGAAAAATGCAATCATATAAACTATTGTACTAAAGTTACTGTCCTAAGCAACAGTAATCACAGTAAGCAATATATCTAGTGTGATCTATATGCAGTGTTAAACACAGTACTGGGCATCATGAATGTAACTGCTTGTTATAGGAATTCCGCTATGCAGCTATTGTGTGTATGACATGTACATTTTAAATACAGTACTTGAATTTGTAACAGTTTTATTTGCTTTGGGGCATTTTAAATTGGGATATGAATTTACCAAAGTAAATGATACCACTACAATAAAAAATATATGTATATATATGAACTCTGAAGTTGCATCTTATTTGAGTTTGACACATTTTATTAATTGTCCCAGTATTGTTAGTTCACTTGGGGAAGAAGAAAACTAAAACCACAGGGAGAGGGAGCAGTTTTTATACTATTTTTTACAAAGAAAAATTAAGAATGGTATATTCTAATAAGCGGTATACTCTAATTTCAAAAATCAGAATAATCCCATAATCCTGGGGAAAGTATAAACAGTAGCCACCAGTGCAAAGTGCTTACTCTTCTGGCACCGTACTTGGCACGCTCATACGTAATGTCCAGTCCCTACAACAATCCTACAAAATTTTATCCTCATTTTATGGAAAAATAGAAAATAATGTTCTTCAGCCTCTTAGCAACAGTTCAAATGCATGCTTCTGTAACAAAACACAAAAATGAAGAGTAATTCCAAGTATTAACAGTTGTAGGATCCCAGCCTGGGGCCTACACTAATTACCCATATAACCAGAAAGGAATCACCCAAGTCCCCTTGAAGCCTCAATTTTCACACTTGAAAACAAAGGGAAAGACGGTGCTTGGCAATTAATTCCTACTCTGCCTTCCTCACAGAGTTGTTTGAAATAATATACATGTGAAAGTATATGACAAAGCTCTGCTCAAATATACAATGAAATGTAAATGAAAATTTTCACTGGGAGAGAATTTGTGAGGACAATTATAGCTGATAACGATTAAGGAATAGTTCAAAACACAATTAAGAGAATTTTTTAATTCTTCAATTGCTGCCAGCAGAATGATTCTTTCCCAGTGAGTTACCCAATTTGAATTGCTCTGCATGATAGTTTTTAAAAGTACAAAACTGTTCTAAAGCCAAAATATGCTTAAATTTATTTTAAAGTTTCAAATGGAAACATATTATAGAACATGGGCCAAAATTAAACTTTAATTAAGTAACATGCACACACACATTACTCTAATTATCAAAACATGAAATCAAAGGAAATCAATTACCTGTGGAAGGGGCAGAATTTGGTTTTAGGTTACAAATCGTGACCAGCATGTACACACAGACTGAGAATATTCATGGACATACTGCCAATAAACATTTTTAAATAAGGTATAAGTGCAAATCAGTACAAGCCTCTCCAGTTTCTCTCACACATACTTAGGCCCTAGACCAGGGTTGGCAAACTTCCTCTGTAAAAGCCCACATAGCAAAAATTTTAGGCTTTTCAGGCCATATGAGTCCTGTAGCAACAATACAATTCTGCTCTAATAGCTGAAGGCAGCTGTAAATAGGCATGGCTTTGTCCTAATAAAGTACAAAATAGAAAGCAGCCTGGATTGGGCCTGAAGCAGTTTGCCGACACCTGCCCTAGACTCTCAAATTATCTAATAGACCTTACTGATTCTCCAGGGCCATCCTGTTTTCAAACACTTTCATTCTTTTCCACATCATGTGACAAAACTCATGTCCAAATCCTCAGGGTGTTTTGAAGGCAACACAGAAGGTTACAAAAGCAAACCATACTTTGTCAAATTCTACAAGACATTATGAACACTGTGTCCTAGAAATCTGTATTTCAGTATTTCACAACTATTTCTAGTGACAAAAACTGAATATCCATAACTTCTGCTGTCACAGAAAGTACTGAGAAAATTAGCTTATTTCTCCATTTTGCCTATAACCAGACTTTTTATCAGCTATTTGGCTCAGGCAAAACTGTCCTCCCTTTCTCTGTTTAAAGAAAAAAAAAATCCATTTTTAAAAACTTCATTAGAAAATACTAAAAATTACATGGCCCAGTGGTTGGATCAAAATCTTTCTGGAGTCACAGATTTCTCTGGAAATCTGTTAAATTACTAACCCTCTGTCTGGAAGAAAAAGAGGGAAAAAAAAGCACAGAAAAAGTGTGTATAATTTTAAAAGGTTCATAGACCTCCTAGAGCTATTTTGGATTACCTAAGTGTCCAAGGACTGCAAGTTTTTCTTGAAGGTTTTCCTCTCCCATTTTCTCCTTTTCCTTCTTTCTTCCATAGTTCTCTTTCTGCCCCTAATTCTGTCTCTCTCTCCAGTTTTTTTGCATAGTGCTATGGAAAGAAATCAAAGAGAACTGGGCATGAATCCCAGTTTAATCCTTACTAGTTTTGGCTTCCCTCTTTTGTGGAATGAACTCAAGAAATATGGGTAATGTTAGAGAATAAAGCAGGCCAATTCCTGGATCTAGCTGCCAGAAAGAAAACTAAACCACTTGAGCTAAGACTGTCTCAGAGGTCTACCACTAGGTCCTTGTGAGGGCTCCCAACATCTTTATAGTTACAATCATTTAGTCATATTAATGAAGTATCTTGTATTTTCCAAGAATAATCAAGATTTCAAAAGCCTGTCTGTGGTCCCCATACATATCGCTGTACGTGCAAGGCCAGATGTGTGCTGAGTTTGTTTTGGGGGAAAAAACAAAAACAAAAACAAACAACACTGTGTAAGTAGAGTCTATCTTGCTGGATATTTTATTCAAATTTTCAGTAATTCCTTAAGGATTAGGAAAGAGATTTTTTTCCATTTTACTTTGTCTATATTCTTCCTTTCATAATTTTGCAGATCTTCAGGAAAGGAGAAAGAAATGGAGAAAATGAGATAACCATTAATTCATCCCACAAACACTGAACACCTGAATGTACCACTCGCTATTAGATGCCCCCACCCTAAGGAGCTTGCATTCTCATAGGAAGAAAAAGACAAAATAAATATATAACAAATATGAGTATGTTGGGTGGTAACAAGCTGTATAGAAAAACAAAAACCAAAAAACACAGATAATGAATAGAGTGGAGACTGGGGAAGAAGTTGTGACTTTAAATAGCCCAGAAAAAAACCTACTGAAGTGACATTTCAGCTAAGCCCAGGAGGTGAGATATCAATGTCACTGATCCACTCCTTTCCTTTCCTTTTCCACCGTGCTTGTGTCAAGACATTCCCACTGCAGCTTTTGTTCAGAGGGCTGCCTAGAGAGAACGCAATGAGCATCTGCCCCAGTATTGCACCTGCCCAATCCGCCAACCCACAGGCAGGGAAGAGTCCAGGGTGGAGTTGCTGGGCAAGTCCAGGGAAAGGAAAGAAGGTACTGGGATCCCTGCTGAGGCCTTCGTGTATCTTTTACATACATGCCTTTATATAAAAAGGCAATTTAATGTACATTATCTCAAGCCCCACTCAGGCTGCCTGTTACCCTTTAATGACCTCTCTTTTAGTCTTTCCCTTCAATATGCTCTCCAATTGCACTAATCCCTATGAGTGTAAAAATATTGAAGGTGGAAGTATTGGACAGTGTGTCACTTGTCTCTGGCTTTGCAGACTTCGCAGACATGCCTAGTCCCTGCAGGCACACCCAGGACCGTGGCCAAGAGCAGCCCAAGAATTCTATCAGTCACTCTGAATGTCAACACTGTTTCAGGTAATTACAGTTCCTTCCCGCTCCAGAGTGCCCCACTTAGGCCAGGTGTTTATGTCCAAGGAAGGGGCTACTAACTGGTAAACCAGGTAAACTGGTACTCATGATTTAGCGTTAAGAGCCCTGGACTAGACCAGAAGGCAGTCTCCAAACACATTTATAGAGCATCTAACAATGAGTCAAGCCCTCAGTAGGCACTGGCAACACTAAGATGCCAATGCAGGCGACTGAGCCTTTGCTTTCAAGGCCCTCATAAAGCTTGGAGGGGACAAACGCAGTGCGATACAGTGGGTCGTGTACAGGCTGAGATAAGTTATCAAAGAACCGAGGGAGTTCTGAGGAAGGGTACGGGGTGGGGAAGGGGGGGCAGTTACAAGAGGGCGTCCCAGAGTGGATTTGTGCTGGATCCGGAAGGACAGATGAGTTTACGCGGAAAGTGGGGAACGGTGGTTCCCAGCGGAGGGAACCAATGAGCCAAGGCAGCGCTGGGCAGAGACCAGGGACCCTCTCACCCCCGGCGCTGCAAGGGCACAGAACCTGGGGCAAAGGGGATTAACATCTCTGGGCCTCGGCTCAGAGACCCGTGACAATTACAGCACACTCGAGCTTGGAAAAAACGAGGAAGTTCGTGTTCCTTTTCTGCGAGGCTGAAAGCCGGCCGTTAAGGCAGAGGACGCCCTGCGAGGCGCCGGTAGAGACGCAACTCCGCGAACCGAGTCATCCACGCCTCCATCCTCAGCTCGCTAGAGTGTATACTCTTGCTCATAGAGAAAGAAGGAAGAGAAAGACCGGGAAAAAAAAGAGACAACGGTGGGGTCGGGCGCGGCCGAAGCCGGGTCCGAGTGGCGCGCGGCACTACGGCCACAGTGGTTCCGGGGCCTCCCTCCCGGGTGCGACCCCCGCGGTCTTGCGGCCCCGCGAGTGGAAGCCGAGGCCGCTGCTCCCACTCTTCGGGGCGCAGCCTCGCGCCTCGCGCCGCGGTCACCCGTCGCCGCTCCAGCTCCTCCGGGCCACGAAACCCGGGCCTCTCCCGCGGCCGAGCCACCTCCGCCCTCATCGCTGTGACGAATCGGCGCCCGGCGGGCCAGTACCCAAATCCGGGGAGTTCTGGGGCACGTACGGGACCTGAAAAAATCCTTGACTGTGCGAAGCACCACCGCGTCCTCACCAGAAGGTTTATTTTTCTAAAGACAGTCGGTGAGGCCTGGAAAGGAATTAAGAAGAGTGTTGAAAGTGCGAGTGCGGAAGCTCCGGACGCGAGGGGCGGGGCGTGCGCGGGACAAAGGGAAGCGAGGCCGGAGCTGCGGGCGTTTTTTCTGCCCGCGGGTGAGTGTTGCCAACTGGGTCCGACGGGGTCGGGAGGGTGCAAGTCGTGTTGTCCTGGCTTGGCTGGACCCTGAGTTCCTGGGGGCTGCTCGGGTTCTGACTTGGCCGAGGGGCCGGAGCTGGGGCCGGCTGCGGCCTCCTTGAGGCCTAGCGGAGCGAGGGTTGGGAGGGAGTTCCATCTGGGGCGCCTCCTCGGCGGCGAGATTGTCCCCTAACACCAACCCCGCGAAATAAGAGCACCTGTGCGGTACTCCTCGTAATTGGAGTTGCTGGTAAAGCGCATCCTGTACAACAAACACCAAAGAAACGACCGCGGAAAGCCGTTAGTGCAAACCAGGCCCGCGGTCCTCACCCCCGGGAAGGCGGTTACCCCCTTGGTTCGGGCAGTGACCTGAAGGCTACTCTGTGGCTCAGAGCGAGGAGCCAGAGCCCTGCAAGTTTGGCCTGGGTTTGAAACCCAGCTCTGGCACTTCCCGGCTGTGTGGCTTTAGACAAGTGACTTAAACTCGCTGAGACTCCCTAGTTTTTATCTGTAAAATAGGGATAGCAGTATATATCTCATAGGGTAGTTGTGACCATTAGACGAGATAGTGTAGTAATAAGCCTGTGTCATATAAGGTAGTCAACAAACACTTAACTGTTGTCGTACTGAAGGCAGCTGAATTCATTGGTGGACAAATGTACAAGCTCATTCTTAGAATTTATAGTGCAACATAAGAAGAGCAGAACTTTTATAAAGTATAACAAACAATAAAGATGATGGACTAGGGAGCTTGTGGCAGTTATTGTCAGGGTTCCCATAGCAAGGTCTACTGGATGTTGGCAGCTCCCTGAAAATGCGAGCAGGAAGGAAATCTGAACGCGAGTCAATGGTTTCTGCCTGTTTCTTAAAGAAAGGGAGAAAAGACCTAGGTCGGGGCATTGAGGAAATATTTCTTTCCACACCAGGCTTCTTATTCCTTATGCTCTAGAGAATTCCCTTCTTAAAATACAAAATAGACGCAAAAAAATCATGTTTGTTTCATACAATGCTGAATGGAAGTACTTGCCAGTAATTCTAGAAGTTATATGAATGTTTGTCTCATTGTATGCATGGTGTGTGATGTATACTGATGTAAGGAGAAAGTTCACATGTGTATGGGCATGTTCTGAGCTGGTAATACTAGAACCAAATTTATTAAGAACTGAGCCAGGTGCTGGGACTATAATAATGAATTAGACGGTCCCTGTTCCCAGTCAGCACACAATCTAGCTGTATTAACAGGTATAATACAGTATTACAACAGTAGTAAACAATATAATAGGGACATGCACATGAGGAAGCAGTTAATTCTGCCCAGGTAATTTATCAAGCTCCATCGAGGAGATATGTTTTGAAATGGGCTGTGAGGGGTTAATGAGAGTTTTTCAAATAGACTCTCAATTTATTCCCAGTAGTTATAAAGGTATTTACCACTTTAAGATGTAAAGCTCATTATCTCACCAAATACCTTTTTGCACTGCCTCCAGGAATAAAATGCTGATTTTAAAATTGAAAGTGTTACCCTAAAAGGAAGTTAGAGCTGCTGCTGATCAAGGAGCTGTCAGGATATGGTAGACCGCGTTGGGGTGGGCCCTGATAATACATCACATTCTATTGTCATTGTATTTGTTTATCAGTCTGATTAAATGTTTACATGGCATCAGCAACACATTTTCCATACAAGAGGTGGCCCAGTACCATAAGAAAAACTTGGAAGTACATGTCTAATACTGCTTTTAATATCCCCAGTAATCATTGTAGTATTTTAATTCTGATCAACCAAATGACGTATAAGAACTAGTAAAATATGCAAAAGATTTCATTACTGGGAGATCATGTAATCTTACTAAGAAATACCAATTAAACTACCCTATTCTTTAGAAAAACATTTTCTTAATGCTTGCCGAGTTTTGATTCTCTTTTTTTTCTTTTTTTTCCTTTTTTTTTATTTTAGTGTCTCAGATTCATTCTTAAGGAACTGAGAACTTAATCTTCCAAAATGTCAAGTAAGTTTCACTTTTTATATTTATCAGTCTATATTAATAAGAAACTAATGCCCTAGCAAATGGGAATTCCAAAATACTCTCATTTTTTTTTCTTCGAAACAGGACCATTGGTAGTTTTGTTGCATAGTATTATATCTCAGTTGTTTACAAGAAGTTATTTATTTTCTTTCAAACAGAAAGACCATCTTATGCCCCACCTCCCACCCCAGCTCCTGCAACAGTAAGTTTTAATTTTCTTGTTAATGTAATAGCCAAGTCTGGCCTTGATACAAAAACCCAGATGTCTTCCAGTGACAGTCACTCAATCATCACTGTAACAGGATGAAAATTTCAGCTAAAAAACAGCACTTCCTACTAAATAAAATAACTCTTTGCATTTTACCATGAACCAACCCCAACATTTAAAAAAACATACTGCTGAAATTGCAGCCTCCTATGCTCAGTTCTTTTTTTAATGGGAAGTAAGTGACAAGTTTAGCACTTCTTTCTTGTTAATCTCTATTAAGAGTCTTTAAAATTGATATTGAGTGAATGCTCATTCTGGCATTTATTATTATTTTTAAACCTAACCTTCAGCTGGTTACATTTTTCTCTCCTCGTCTGAATATAATTTTCATATTAGATCAAACAATAAAGCTTCCAGTTCTCCAATACCATTGTAAATCTTTATTTTTCAAGCTGTTTAAGTAAGGATTTAATTATCCATGGGTCAGAGCCTGCTGTTGAATTTTATTCCACTCATAAATAATATTTTATTGGTTTGGAAATTGATATGTTTCGAGTGTCTCAATAATGGTTGTGAACTAGTTCTTCCACCCAGCAGGCTCTGACCCAACTTGATCAGCATGTAAAATAATTGTCCAATCCACAAAACAGATTTAATAGAAACTATTCAGGCCTTGCTGAAATGGATTCCTTGTTTTCTTGTTTTGTTTTGTTTTTGTTTAAAAGACAAAACAAAACACTGTTAATATTGACCATAGCCTACAAAAGCAGTTCTTTAACAGTTGTTAGCTGTCCTTCCATACCCCTTACCCCTTAAATTTCAGGCTAGTCTACTAATTAGGTCCTTGTGTAATTTTGTTTTCTCCACTAGATAACTACTCTTACTTCTAACCCTCAGATATATGTTTTAGTTTATCAACAGTTTGTTTCTCCTTAGTAAGATGCTTTTTAAAAGAGATACTGTATCACATGTTCTCACTTTAATTTATGTAAACATACAGTCTCTGAAGTTACTTCTAATAGATCTTAAAAGTCCTATCTCTGGTTTATTTTCTTTCTTAAATCAAAGAACATTTCTTATGACTGATCCTTGGCACTCTGCTAGGGGCTACACAGGTGGAGTTGACCAGTTGAGATTCCTGACCTCAAAGAGCTAACCATGTGCTTCATTTTTGGAAATGGTATAATTACAATGTTTTAGTTTGAATTTTTTTTTTCAGTTCCCTTTTCTTACGTTATTGCCTCATAATGATGAACTTTGTTTATGCAACCTTTGAAGGTGTTATTTTTAATGAAAATACTGCCTCTGACAGTATATAATATCTTGAAGACAAACTTGATTTGTTGAGATAATAAAAATGACTCAAAGACCCAAGTGTCCCCTTATAACTTCTTGAATATAGAAAGGAATTTTTTTTTGCCTTTCTTTCTGTACCATTGTAATTTCACATTAACACATAAAATACAGAAGACTAAGGGTTCAGGCATCCAACAAAATGGATACTAAATGGACTATCATCCTTTTTTGTTCCCATTACTTCTATAACCACTACCATCACCACCACCACCCAAATGTATCACTCCAAGTAAAATACACTTCTTTTGTGCCTTTGATACTTAATCTGTGTTTTGCCTTGCTTAATTTGCGTCTTCTATAACTATGTAGACTAGAAATTGATCTTCCAAAGAGTTTGAAGTGTAGTAGTATCTGCTTGAGTGTCTTTCTCTCGGACACTATGAAGATATGTGCAGGGGCATGTTATAGAAAATTGTGTTTATTTTATAACAGCTACAGCTTAGTTGGGATATATTGAGTGTATTTTACATTAGACAATTGAGGACCGATACTGTTAATTGCATGTTAAAATGAAATTACTGTCATTTGTTTTGATTGAATTTCATTGGGTAAAATATCCTACTTTGGTTTCCTCTTTGCTACATCCTTTATGCATTATACCTTGTCATGAACATTGGATGTCATTGTATTAACCACAAAGGCACTGCTGTATGAGAGCCCATTTGTAATCACATCAACATATAATTCACAAAAAAACAGAAGTTCTGTTGCTGCAATGAGCTGCTGTGTTTTGAAAGTGCTAGAGCTATCAAAAGGATAGGTGAAAAAAGAAAGTCCAATTGTGTCAACTAGAGGAGTAGTTCTCATTAAAACTAAATGCAGTAATTGTTCATGATTGACCTATGGAAGTTGGATCAAAGAAGAGATGGAAGAGAAAGCCTATAAAAGAATAACTGGGTTAAAAAGATTAGACAGTGCCCCAGAACAAGAGCCAGGCATTTCTTACACGTCTTTGTTTCAAAATCATGTATGTGACATCCATGAATCCCACATTCACATTGAATCCTTTCTATTGACAACTTTTGGCTTCCTGACTTGAGTCTCTTCTCATTTCTCACATTATATGAAATGATTTAAAACTCTTTGAGAATAATCCATTTCCTGTTTTTATTTGTTTTTAGTAGGTAAATACATTGGCAGCATCTACATAACTCAAATAAATCATGTTTTGTTTTGCATGTAAAGTGTTTTCAGACTTCTAATTTATCACACTCAAGCTTTCCTCTCAGACATACATCGCTAAGTTTTTGCACCCCACTGTTGACCATAAAATAATCTGTTTGAGACACTTCAGTGTATGCTCATTCCAGAAAACAAGCACACACATTCATATGCACACAAATACCACAGGCCCCTGCAAAGAGAAGAAAATAAAGAAAAAAACCCACTTGCTGACTGGTTTCTCAATGAACGAAAAAAAACAATTACAACACATCATTGCTTGTTTAAATTCAGGTTGCTTTTGCATGTCATATGCAGATCATTTTTCATTTCTGTGTTTCCTCGTTTGAGCTCATTTCTCATTCGTGTTTTTGTCTCATTTGTTTCCATCAGCAAATGCCCAGCACACCAGGGTTTGTGGGATACAATCCATACAGTCATCTCGCCTACAACAACTACAGGCTGGGAGGGAACCCGGGCACCAACAGCCGGGTCACGGTAGGAGAATCAACTATTACAGCATCCGGCAAACAACTGGAATTGACCAGAAATGCCTTCATAGTTAGGTCCTTTTGAATCATCAGCACAGCCGTTACAGATTATTTTAACCTGGCATTTTGACTGTTTTAAACATTCATTGCACAGTCAGTCCTACACTGGAAAAAAAAATAGATCTGGATATGTATATAGGAGAAGAAAAGAATCCATTCTGTTTGGTCATTGATAGAGATAAAGCCTCGGGCACTTAATGCTTGTACTATATGTAGACAAACCTGGAATTTCTTATGGTTAAAATACTCTTTGAGATGAAAAATATCTTCATTTAAGGTAATTAATATTAGGCTCAAGAACTCAGTTTCTTAGTAAAGGCTGAGCTTCTTTTGGCTGGCCTACCAGTTTGAATTGCTACCCAATAATTATTTGTCTTTTGGATTTAATAGTTGGCCTTCTGAGATTCATTTATCTCCAGTTACAAAAAGATTTTTACATCACTTCAAAGAATTGCAGAATGCAAGTTGAATTTAATTAATTTGAAGTTCCAGACTAGATATCCACAACTAAAAATGCATTTATAATCTGTAGGATAATGAATATGATTTCTGAAACTTAAGATGTTCCATTTAAATGGTCAACCAAGATACCAAAATTGGATCATGTTCTTCAGACTTTTTATTTTAGAGTCATCTTAAACGCCATTCAAGGAAACGTAGGTACCAAAGAAACAAATAACTATAAAAAATGAGTTACCAAAAATAAAAATAAATCCAAAAGCCAAATACCTACATTAGAGTGTGCTATTGATGAGCATTTATGCAACCCAGAACGGCTGTAAATTTTTTAATACGTGGTTTTTGTTTACTAATTCATAAATTTCAGTTAATGTGACTTCAAAAAAGCCCTCTCACCCTGTAGTCAAGCTAAGTAAATTTTTTAATACGTGGTTTTTGTTTACTAATTCATAAATTTCAGTTAATGTGACTTCAAAAAAGCCCTCTCACCCTGTAGTCAAGCTAGAGCAGAAAGCATGTAACTATCAAACTATGTGTCTATCTTGGTAAGCATATTGCTTAGCTTGATGGGTTCTGTTTGTCTAAATTTTTCATTGTTCCGCATAATTTGTACTTCATAAGCATATCAAAGTTTATGTGCCATGCATATTTCATGGTATTTGGAAAGAATTCTGACAAAGTATGTATATATATGCATTTCACAATGCATACAATTTTTATGTGCACCAGTACATGTTTTTCCCTGATCTAAATGTGTTGTTTCACAAGTGTTATGGGTGGCAAGGTTATCAAATGATAAAGAAGATTTTAATTTAAACAAAAAGCAGAATCGATTTTGGGTCATTCATGTTAATGCAGAAAATTATTCATGGGCAGTAAATGAAAATAATTACATTTTAATAGCTCTATACAGTCAGCTCTTGATTATCTATGCTAATAGAATAGAAATGGTGGTAACTAATATTAGATGCATTTGTATTTCAGTTTGTGTAAGCATTTTGTTCTTAACTTGGATCTATCTGGGAATTCTCAGTTAATTAAGAGATTGTTCAATAGAGCCCTATTAGTGTGCTGGCTGCTCTGGGCCTTGGGGTCAGTTATCTATTTCTCCCCACTCCTTGAGGATGTTAAAAGTCAACATCTGGAGTGGGCACTAGCTTCAGGGTACGTTAGCATAAGAGGGATTTGGAGCATGGAAAATTTGGTTTTCTCTGTATTATTGTCCTCTCGGCAGGGACTGAACTGTAATCAGATTGCTGTTTAGACTTCACCTGGAGGGCCTAGGAAATGTGGATGCTTTTAGCTCTCTGCTAGGTCATTGATTGAATCATTCTCTTAAGAAAACTAGTTATGGCTAACGTTTTGCACTACTTTTTTTTATATATCTAGTTTAAGCTGCATTTGGACTTAATAGGTCTGATTTTGACCATTATAAAAAAAAGCATTTTATGTTAAGATGAGCTCAACTGTGTGTTACCATTTTGGGCGGCTCCTATTTGGCATTATTGATTGCAAATTGCCTTAACTTGATGATTTGAAGGAATGCTTCTGTGAAGCCTTATGAGGTAGTTTCCTGGAGGTTCTAACAGCATCTGGTTTTCCTGCTGACCCCAGTACACTAGAATAGTCTTGAGACAGTACGCACTGAAGCATGTTGAAACTTTTTGGAGTGCTCATGATACTGTGAGGTGGGCTTTTCTCCTGGTCAGTTCTTCATTCAGGTGATGGGCATTCTCTTCAGTGTAGGTGTAAATAGTTTGAGATAAAATGTTAGAAACAGCTTTTCTCTGTGCTTTAATGGAAATTCCATTCCAGAAAAAACCTTAAATAAGGATCCTGCCAGAGAAACAGCTAGGAATTTTGGAAGAAACAACAAGAAAAAACTTGAGTAGCCAAAGTAAATTTCACAGAATTGTGGACTTCATTTATTGGAGAGTCTCAGGACCTTACTCTTAAATAAGAACAGTTTTAACAAGCATAATTACTTGTTAACCCCCAACTCCTTGCCCGTTCGAAGCAGAAAATTGGAAAGGACAGTTGCTGCTGGAGGTAGGTTTCCTGATAGCAGCAAGGACAGAAATGGCTGACAAAGGAAATGTGCTCCCCAAGTGCAGCTGCTGGGCCATCTCATAAAGGGACTGGCAGCATTTCACACCTCAATCCAGAGGATTACAACAAAGCATTGTTTCTAATTGAATTACTAACAAAAGGTTAAAGTGTGTTTAGTGCATATTGCTTTTTTTTTTTTTTGAAGCATAGAGAAACGTTTAAGACATAGATGTCTGTCTGAGGTGGTATGTAAGTTAGGGGTGCTTAGTGATAGAAATCTTTGATATCCTGGAAACCAGCTAGAATTTAACTTTGTGGTTATTGTTTGGTGTTTTGTTTTGTATTGCTTGTATTTGTAAATTGACTGGTCAATGTGATGAAAATATGACCTCACTGTGTAGATGGTCTGGGTACCTTCCTTTGGGAGAAAGGAGAAGAAATAAACAAACCCATTATGTTACAAAGTGTAGTTCTTTGAAATATAATCAGAGAGCAAATATTACTATAATTTGTTCTTAAAATGTTTTAATTCAACATATTTAAACAGGTTTTAGAATTCTTTACCTCTTTTTTTTAAAAAAATGTTAATAGTGGTCTACCAACTTTGTTATTGGCACAATTCCAACTTTATTTGTGACCCGCTTCATGAATTCTGAAGGTTTATGTTGGGTATGAGTTGGAAATGCTTTCTGATAACTTCACATGCATGAATGATCAGATTTTTTGTGTCTTACTCAGAATCTGTGGCATAAGGCTGTCCTTGTAGGAATTCCACCCCACCTTGAAAGAACTCTTAGTGACCCTGAGACAGAATTTCTCTTACTGATTCTTCATACCACCACTGTTGACAGTTTTCCATCCCCCATGGATCACCTGCTCCATTGCCCACTGCTGGCCAAACACGGTCAGTCTGCATGGGTGCCAGCAGCAGGTGTGGTTAAAGGAATCTATGGGAGGAGTAGAGAGAGGGGTAATGCGTCTTCAAAGGTGAAATACTTTCTAGTAATTCGTGTATGAAGAAACATTAACAAGCATAATTACTTGTTAACCCCCAACTCCTTGCCCGTTCGAAGCAGAAAATTGGAAAGGACAGTTGCTGCTGGAGGTAGGTTTCCTGATAGCAGCAAGGACAGAAATGGCTGACAAAGGAAATGTGCTCCCCAAGTGCAGCTGCTGGGCCATCTCATAAAGGGACTGGCAGCATTTCACACCTCAATCCAGAGGATTACAACAAAGCAGTCATTGTTTCTAATTGAATTACTAACAAAAGGTTAAAGTGTGTTTAGTGCATATTGCTTTTTTTTTTTTTTTGAAGCATAGAGAAACGTTTAAGACATAGATGTCTGTCTGAGGTGGTATGTAAGTTAGGGGTGCTTAGTGATAGAAATCTTTGATATCCTGGAAACCAGCTAGAATTTAACTTTGTGGTTATTGTTTGGTGTTTTGTTTTGTATTGCTTGTATTTGTAAATTGACTGGTCAATGTGATGAAAATATGACCTCACTGTGTAGATGGTCTGGGTACCTTCCTTTGGGAGAAAGGAGAAGAAATAAACAAACCCATTATGTTACAAAGTGTAGTTCTTTGAAATATAATCAGAGAGCAAATATTACTATAATTTGTTCTTAAAATGTTTTAATTCAACATATTTAAACAGGTTTTAGAATTCTTTACCTCTTTTTTTTAAAAAAATGTTAATAGTGGTCTACCAACTTTGTTATTGGCACAATTCCAACTTTATTTGTGACCCGCTTCATGAATTCTGAAGGTTTATGTTGGGTATGAGTTGGAAATGCTTTCTGATAACTTCACATGCATGAATGATCAGATTTTTTGTGTCTTACTCAGAATCTGTGGCATAAGGCTGTCCTTGTAGGAATTCCACCCCACCTTGAAAGAACTCTTAGTGACCCTGAGACAGAATTTCTCTTACTGATTCTTCATACCACCACTGTTGACAGTTTTCCATCCCCCATGGATCACCTGCTCCATTGCCCACTGCTGGCCAAACATGGTCAGTCTGCATGGGTGCCAGCAGCAGGTGTGGTTAAAGGAATCTATGGGAGGAGTAGAGAGAGGGGTAATGCGTCTTCAAAGGTGAAATACTTTCTAGTAATTCGTGTATGAAGAAACAGAGTTAAGTATCAAGCGAGACCCTCATAAGGGGAGGAAGCATGAAAGCAGGGGAATGGGGGACAAACATGCCGGTTTCTGAGCACTCGGGTAAAAAATAAGGTTATAAGGGGAGTCCCAATTCAGAACGGAGGAGTTTCCCTGGGGTTCATCACAGCAGCAACAGAAGGGCAAGGAAACTTAATGTCATTTTAGTTTTCTTACAAGGATTTGCCAATTCCTGCCTGATAATTAGTGATGCCAGCACTTCTTTCCCTAGCCTGGCAAGGAGGATCAGTATCAGAGATCTCCCAGAAATTTGGGGAAAATAAATGTGATTCGGCCATGATTTTACTCTGGGTTCTTGATCAAATGCAGTCATACGTGTGAGGATGAGACTACATTCAGAAATAGACATCATGGAAGGGAGTCATCTAGGGTGTCCTCTAGAGGCTCTCTGTATCTCTTGCCTAGGATATTAGCCCATATAGAAAGAACTGTTCTCTCATCCTTCTTTGTCTCCACGCTCATCCTGCCCCCTTTTTAACCCACTTTTTCCTTCACCTTTAAAAAAATTTTTTTCAGTCTTTCCTCTTCTTTTTCTTCTATTTTCCTCTTCCTTTCTCTTTATGTCTTATCCACAAAACCAAAAACTTTTATCGATACAAGACCTCAAAAATAACTAAATTGGGCCCCATGTCTGCCGTGTCTTTGTTCCTGGTAAACTTACTCATGTTTACTCCTAGACTGTTACTAAGATTAAGGACCAAAAAATAGGTATGACTTTAGTTCACACCTCTTGATCCCCTCGTAGAAAACCACTAGATATGGACATAGAGCCCTAAGAAAAGTAAAATCTCTAGTATTGATAAATGAGATGAAGTTTTTTGTTTTCTGTTTTTGAAACTCAGAAGTAGTGTTTGTAGAGGTGGTGGTGTTTATGTTGGGGTGCATTCCTGAAATAGTAGAAATAGACACAAAGTCCCCTGTAGACAGTGGGAGTGTGATATGTGCTGAAGAAGTGCAGATTCTGGTGCAGATAATCAAGTGTTGACTGTATGTGTAATGGTAAATTAAAAAGGGTTCCAGGTAATGTCCTAAGTGTGGGACATTTGAGACATAACCATACATTTTTGATGTATCAATTATTGTATAATATTTTATTTGTTCTTACAGCCAGGTTGTCAGAGCAGTGGCAAAAAAACTGCTAAGTAAAATATTTTTAAATTATGTGCTTAAAGTTATTTTCTTTATTTTCTTTTGCTGTGAACATTTCTGAATTTGCAGTGATAGCTATTTTCAGTGGAGAAAATATAAGAATCTTGTACCCATGGACGAGTAGAAGAAAGGCGCAATAGAATTTTTTTAAGGGACTCTCTTTTCAGTTTGCTGGTGAACTTCTTACAATTGAATAATGAATGTATTTAACTCTTTTGTAGGCATCCTCTGGTATTACGATTCCAAAACCCCCAAAGCCACCAGATAAGCCGCTGATGCCCTACATGAGGTACAGCAGAAAGGTAGGTGCCCGGGAGCCGGAGAGGAGTGAGGACTGCTGTTCTGGCTTCTTTGCTTTGTATCACGTTTCGTATTGGCTTAGCCAGCTTTTCAGGGCATAGTCAGAGGAAAGGATAAGGAATTGCAGTTCTAACAGAAATTAGTTCTGATTCAGGTTCCAGAACTAAAATCCAGCAAGAACATGATTAAATAAACTTAAAATCCTTAAGATAATGTTACATATCCAATGTTACATATATAGTCTTTTGGAGACTATTTAATGACATGAGAAAAGTGTTACATGAAAAAAGAATGTAAGACTGTGTATTAGTATCTTATTTTTATAAACATAATAGCAACTGCATGTTGGTTTGAAGGGAAAAAAAGCCTAGAAGACAATGGTTATCTCTGAAACAGTTATTGTAATTTTTATTTTTTTATGCTTCCTTGAATTTTCCCTCTTACTTTTTTTTTTTTGTGATGAACTCACATTACTCAAAATAAGAAACATAGCCAGTATCTTTATTATATAAAGAGAGCATTTAGCTATTTTCACCACTATTTAGAAATTCTTAAATTTTCAATCATTATTACATATGTACTTGACAGTATGGTATGCAGATTAATCACTTTCCTTCTAAGTCCTTTTAGGACTTTTAGAGAAACATAGACTATGTTATTGAGGTAGCTCATCTTAAATGTCTCCAGTGATTAGACATGTCTGAGGTCTGCCTTAAAATAATCCAGCGAGAGCATGAGTTGGCCAATGAAATGAGATTGGCCACCTGTTGATAATTGTTGCAGCAGGTTGATCAGAATGTAAGGATTTGATTCTGTTTCCTCTGCTTTTATGTTTAAAAGATTCTATATTAAAAAGTATTTTTAAAGGTCTGTATTTTTACGCATCAGTATTGAAATCTCACCTGTTTTCCTTTTTAAGGTCTGGGACCAAGTGAAAGCTTCCAACCCCGACCTGAAGTTGTGGGAGATTGGCAAGATTATTGGTGGCATGTGGCGAGATCTCACTGATGAAGAAAAACAAGAATATTTAAACGAATACGAAGCAGAAAAGGTAGAATGAGACTGCAGTAGGATGGATACAATGTAAAATGTATAGACATTGGATGATCATTAATAAAAGAAACAAGATCTAATCAGACAGGAGGGTGCAGTGAGGCTTTGTCTGCCTGGTTCAAATCACTTAATTTCTCTAGGCTTCAGATTCCTTGTCTGTAAAAAGGAAATAACTATCATATCTTTGAATATTCACATGAGATATATAGGTGTTCATATAACCTACAAAATGTTAATTTTATAATTATGTAAGTTATTTTGAGTTTTATAACAGAAGAACATTTGAATTTCAGATAGAGTACAATGAATCTATGAAGGCCTATCATAATTCTCCTGCCTACCTTGCTTACATAAATGCAAAAAGTCGTGCAGAAGCTGCTTTAGAGGAAGAAAGTCGACAGAGACAGTCTCGCATGGAGAAAGGAGAACCCTACATGAGCATTCAGCCTGCTGAAGATCCAGATGGTAAAAAAAAAAATAGTGGGGTTTTGGGTTTTGTTTATGCTTTCTCTGAAAATTAAACAAAGACAACTCTAGTAAGTTTATCCTAAATGGATAACAAATCATAATTTACTTACCATGTCAATATTTTGATTAATTATTTTGAGTAAGATTTGGATATGAATTTCCTACAAGAAATATCCTTCTTACTACAGAAAATAGCAAAAGCCACTTGTTATTTATGAAAATCTTTGTATTCAGAATGCATGAAAGGTTTTTGAGTCACAGTCAGAATTTTGGCTCAAGTGCTTTTAAAAAGCTAAATGCCTTCTAATTATATCCTCTTTTCTTACTGGTTCCCTAAATTTGGTGAATTAAAGGAAAGTTAATGAATGAGTAGAAGCATTATGAAATTTCTTTTCCAGTTAATTCAGAATCCCAAGTAGAATTTATAAATACAGCTCTCATAACACGAAGATACACACATACAGGGAATAGAAATAATAGCAAATGTTAACACAAGCAGCAGTGCCAAAGACGTGTTTGCAAACACAGACCTCAGTTGCTCAGATTGGATGGTTAATACAAGGAAAATATACAAAACTAAAAAATAGAAGATCCAGTCTACAAGTAATTGGAAGGATGAGGATCAGTGTAAAAGGAGACAAAGGCTAGCAGCACTGAAGCCAGAAATAGGAGATAGTTCACTTTAGGAAGGAGAATAGCATGGACATTAAGAACTGAAGAGGTTCACTTGGGAACCTAAATTTGCTGAATTAAAGGAAAGCTAATGAACTTACTTAATAAAGTTAAGTAACTAACATGATTGCTTAGTCTTCAAAACAGTATCCTTTCTTCTGTTCCTCAAATGTCTGCCCATTATGCTTTTTCAGTTTAAGATAGGATCTTAAAGCTGCTAGTGAGAAAGGACGGGTAATAATTAAGTTGCCAGAATGAGAATGCTTCAGACCTTGGACTTGATCCCTTATAAATGAGTAGAAAGAGGAAGACTTACGTAAAACCAAGAGACAAGCAGCAGCTACTGGTAGCTTCTTTAACAAGGAGGACTGTATGAGACCTACAAGGCAGTGAAGGCTTTTAAATAACCTTCTATAGACTATTCATGAGATAAGGTCAGTAGCTGGTAAATGAGAAAACAACTAGAAAATACAAGCCCATCCCACCCCTAGAAATCAGATTCCATAAGTGCAAGAAACAATAAGCAAGCCCGACAAGACTTATTTCCCCTACCACATAAATGAAAGAAGAAAGCAAAAGTAACCCCCCAAAAAAGATAATTTAAATAGAGGTAGTACAGATGTACCATATTAAAAGTGTACATGAAAAAACTCTTCCTTAAAAAGTAAAAAAGTCACACTTTTTTTTAAAAATGGTATCTTCAAATAATTTTAATTTCAGTAGTATATATCCTAAAGAAATTACTTAAAAGGAAACAAAAAGTAATTTGCACAACAGTTTGTAGCCACGATGTTTAAGATAACAAGAGTTTTAGGAGCTACTTAAATACTAAATAATAGGGATGTAATGGAGGAGCCCAATTCAGGCTGCTAGCAGTTTCCTGAAGGGTGGCCTCTGCACCTCCAGTGAGACTCTTTAGATGATCAGGTGGTTCAGAGAGGAACTTTGGTTTTAACATGTATTGCTTAGGAGGAAGCTTTTTTTTTTAAGTGAGTTAATTTAAATAAAAATATTAAGTAAATAATAGTATAAATTCAAATAATAGGTATGTCCAAAACCACAGAAGTGATAGAGCAAAAGTTTCAGATTAAGGAAACATTGTTGCCTAGCAAATACATGCTTATTTGCTGTCACAGGCAGCTCTCCTGTTGTTTTCCAGGCCAAAACACACATGGCTATATCTCATTTACGATTCAGCCAAACCCTTCTCAGACACATACCATCACTTACAGATTTTATGAGAACAGACGATACCTTTGCCAGTGAACACGTTATGTCTTTTGTATGACTGCTGCCAAGTGAATGCCCCAGTGCTCCCGTGATGGGCTTTAGGCCCTCCTGTTGGACATTGAGGGCTGTGGCTCCTTGGTGACGAGGTGTCAACATTGTTACACTCTCCTGTTTATGGTTACTGGTGACTTGATTTCCAGAACAACTTGTTTGTTCCAGATTATGATGATGGCTTTTCAATGAAGCATACAGCCACCGCCCGTTTCCAGAGAAACCACCGCCTCATCAGTGAGATCCTCAGTGAGAGTGTGGTGCCAGACGTTCGGTCGGTTGTCACAACAGCAAGAATGCAGGTCCTTAAACGACAGGTCCAGTCCTTAATGGTGCATCAGGTAAACTCACAGAACATTTGTTATGACAAAGCGGGCCTGTGCCACAGATCCCAGGTGACATGATGCCATACTGTGTGTCCTTGTGCCTGTTAAATGTTTCTGTGTTCTATCTAACCTGTTCCTGATACAGGGAACAGGCTTGAGGGCGTGGAGCTTTCCCGGTGATTTAATAAAGTTGTTATTAAAGCTAACATAGAGCCTTGTCATGGAACACATCACTATTAGGAATTTTGAGACACCTGTCTACCTTTACTGCTTTACTGAATATTTTTTTCTACAGAAATTGCTCAGGCCTGAAATAATATTCATTAACATGTATTTCTCACTTGTTCCTCTCTGCTGTGTTTATATTTTTAAAATCTTAGCTGTTTTAGCTTAGACAGATGGTGTAATAAATGATTTAAATTAAAAATTGAAAACATTTGTCACTGTGAGGAAGTGTGAGGAAAGTGAGACGTGTTTTCTGTATTTAACGTTTGCATTACAGAAAATAATTCAATAATTATAAAGCTTGATCACATGTCTTACAGCGAAAACTAGAAGCTGAACTTCTTCAAATAGAAGAACGACACCAGGAAAAGAAGAGGAAATTCCTGGAAAGCACAGATTCATTTAACAATGAACTTAAAAGGGTATCAGTTTAATGTGTTAAATATACTTTATCAATGTATCTGTTCCTTTTTTATCCTCATTCTTTTTTCCAAAGTAGTGTTTCTATTGAATGTTGTTCACTTTGAAATAGAGTTAACTTTGCTATGACCAGTAAGGTCTTTGCTTTATAAAGTTATTCCTATTTTCTGGCAAAATTGTGATACGTTTGAAATATCTTATAGTATACACACATGTGCTAGACCTATAGACTCTAGACCTGCTAATGTTTTGATTTAAACTCTCAAGCAATCCTGAATTATTTTCATTTCATTGAGATTTATTCATTGAATGTCTTCATTAGATGTAGTTCACAATTTGTACTTCGTATTAAAACAGGTAAATCGATATTTGGTAGCCTGAAATATAAAATGGGAGCCTTGTATATAATCCAGGACTTCCAGCATTGCCTCACCAACTCTTTTGTAATATTTGAGGTAGCATGGCTGCTGGAGCAACTTTCTTTTCCTGTGGACACCAAGAGGTTCAGAGGAGATAGAGAACCATGTTTTTTCTCCTATGTATATGTATATAGTTAATAGCTGAGAAAACCCACTTTTGAAATAATTTCTCTGGTTCAGAGATTGTAAGAAAAGAACATTACTAAGAGTTTTATTTTTTTCTATTAGTTATGCGGCTTGAAAGTAGAAGTGGATATGGAAAAAATTGCGGCAGAAATTGCACAGGCAGAGGAACAGGCTCGCAGAAGGCAGGAGGAAAGGGAGAAAGAGGCAGCAGAGCAAGCTGAACGCAGTCAGAGTGGTGTTGTCCCCGAGGAAGAGCAAGCAGCTAATAAGACTGAAGAAAAGAAGGAAGACGAGAACATTCCAATGGAGACAGGTAACATACCAGGTGACATCAGCGTAAATGTCAAGGTTTTTTACAGCTGCTTCAATTTTGATTTTTCTTCCTCAGCGCTTTGCAGACACTACTCTGTTAATCTCTTTTTGACCTACCCATTTCCTCCCAAATCTTAATCTCTAGTAGATTCACTGAAGATGCTGGTATCCATACAAAACAGTAGTGTTGTGTAGTCTTCAGTCTTGCTATTTGAGGTCTTGGTTATTTGCCCACATTGAGTCATGTCATTTCCTGGCTTGTGAATATCAAGTGTAATGGTGTAATGGTCAAGGATACTGGCCCTGGAGTCATATAGATCTGGACCTAATACTGCTTCACCACTTTCTGACACTATGACTTTGGATAAGCTACTTAATCTCAGTTTCCTAGGTATTCTAGTTCCTGCCTCTTGAGAATGAATTCCAAAATACATAAGACAATATATATGAAATCATTTTGTATTGAATTTGACATGGTATCAGCACTCAGTAGTTTAACCTTTATTCTAAAATTGTTTAAATAAGATGTGGTCATTGCTCTTAAGGTCACTCACCTTTGGTGCCCTTGGACAGGGTTGGATGAGTAAATTCTACCAGCCATCCTGCTTGCCACCTATTTTTGTAAATAAAGTTTCATTGAAACACAGCAACACCTGTTTGTTTAGATATTATCTTTGGCTGTTTGGGGGCTACAACAGTATAGGTGTAGTTGCAACAGATAGATAGATACTTTCTGGCCCACAAAACCTAAAATATTTACTATCTAGCCTGTACAAAAAGTGTTTGTTGACCCGTCCTAGAAAAATTCTTACTTCGGGTGTACTGATTTTCCTGATTAAAAGCATTCCTTAAGGCAAAAAAAAAGGAAAAATGTAAAACTTTAAAGTCATGATTAAATTATCACTTGAAAATTTTGAGGTTACCTTACTATAGGCACTATCTTGACCCTGCCTAGTGCACTGTGTGAGTAGAATTAAGCTAAAGTATGTGAAACACAACCAGAGAACCCTGGGACCATCACTGCAAGGAGTAGGTGGGAGAGCTGTCATACTTAGTACTCAACTGACAGCTTCCTATTTGACGTCTGGAAAACGTTTAATGGAATATAGATGTCTTTGCCAGATATTTCTACAGAATTTAATTCAGCAGATTAACATTTCAGATAGTCAGATTTTAGGTTTCATTATCTGGGCCTTTTTCTCTGTGTGAACATGTTTCTTATCTTAACAAATGGAGTACAACATATTTTTGTGGTTAAAGCAAGAACTTGAGAGTTAGAGTATGGTTCTTTGCTCATTTTGCAACTAGACAGAACATTTCAATCCTTTCTCTCTGTTTTGTCATCTATGAATAGGGCGTGCATGTAGGTCCTCACTTGGATTTTATCCTTCTGTCTTAAGAAAAAAAGCTGAAGAAAATTGTTTGAGACTGTAGAGTGAAACCTCATGCTCTTATATTCTTACAGAAAACAGCCCAGCATGACTTTTAACAAAAGTACCTAAAATATCAATCTTACATCATTTCCATACCTGCTTCCTCACAAACTAAATCCAAAGCAGTGTTGTCCAATAGAAATAAAATGCAAGTCACTGCATAATTATAAATTTTCTATTAACATTTTTAAAAGGAAAGCAAAACAAGTGAAATTGTAATGATGTATTTAACCCAGTATGTTTTAAAGATAATCACTTTATTCAGCATGCAATCAACATTTTTTAAAGTATTCATTTTTACATTTCTTTTTTCATACTACGTCTTCAAAATTCAAATATGTATTTCTACTTACAGTATACCTTAATTTGGAAGTACATTTTCATCAGAAATACCTTATCTGTAGTTAAGAGTTCATAAATTTAGACTGAAAAGTAGATTTTCAAACCCCAAATAGTTTCAAACATGCTAAAAGTTCCTCAGTCACCTTAGCTCATTTCAGGTGCTTAATAGCCACATGTGGTTAGTGGCTATCGTATGGGACAGCACAGCTCTCTACTGTCCGCATAATTAGAAGAATAAGTTTCTGTTTTGGAACTAATCATGACAAATGTGTGATTACAGAGGAGCCACACCTTGAAGAAACAACAGAAAGCCAACAGAACGGTGAAGAAGGCACGTCTACTCCTGAGGACAAGGAGAGTGGGCAGGAGGGAGTGGACAGTATGGCAGAGGAAGGGACCAGTGATAGTAACACTGGCTCGGAGAGCAACAGTGCAACAGTAGAGGAGCCACCAACAGATCCCATGCCAGAAGATGAGAAAAAAGAATAAATGTTGCCTTGTTTTATGTGTTCTAAATACTTTTTTAAATGAAAAAATGGTTTTTGAGTTTTAATGGTGTTACGTGGTTTGTGTGTTAATATTTTCTTGTCCATATCACACCACCAAAGGCTTTTGGGCCATTTAGCATCATGAGCCAAATGGCAGTCATCTTTCTTAAGCAGTTGTGAAGATGGGTCTTTCCTTTGGATCTTGTTTCTAGCCCTCAACTGCTGAAAGCCTCAGAATTTAAATTAATCAAGAAAATACTCACCTCTTTTAGAGAACTGTCCTTTGATGCTGCAGAATCTACTCTTACAAATGCCTTCCTACGGCTCACTTGGGTGCTTACCGAAGCCATAGCTTTAAACCTTCCCAGTCCCCATCAACAGCGTCCTGAGAGTCCCCTTTCCTACTCACACTTCCACAAAGGAAAGCTTCTTGAAAACATAATCACGTTACGAGTATGTTATTTGTTCACTTAGCCTTTTTTATTTTTAATCAGTGTGAGACACCAAGAGTGGAATTGAGTATATACAACTACACTTGAATCGTATTGATCCAGGAATAGTCTCCATAGTTACTAGCTTATGAGATAGGCATTAAAGCGAACATGGCATACCTACAGTATCTATACAGCTTTTTGTTAGAGTTAATATTGGGTGTGTTCTGGTAAATTCATCCTTACTGTACAGAAAAAAATTACTTTTTTACCAAGTTTTCCAAAGACAAGACAATAGATCACAAAGCTTCAGGAGTTGAATATTCTTGCAGTAGACTAGGTAACTTCAAAATGATAAGCCGATTCCAGAAGAGAAACAACTGGGAATTAACTTTAGCCACTTTGAAATTGTTTTACAATAATCAAAACATTCAAAACCTCAAGGCTCAAGATCCCATAGATCAGAGCCTACCTTTTTGATAAACTCATAGTCTTGTTGGAGACTAGAAGCAAGGTAGTTTGTGACACGTATGCTTCCGAAAAACTAGAATAGATTTTTACTGAATAGTGGTATATCTGATGGTATATGTTTCTTAAAGGTTCAAATGTAATAAAAAAAGGAAAAGAAAATGTCTGTGTTTTTAATGTAAATATTTTTATGTAAAACAATATAATTTTGCCTGTAATGCAATGACAACATGGAGTGTCTGCCCACAGCCATAAATTTGCATCTTCAGTATCCTTGTCTCACCCAAATCCATAAACCTTTGTAATAGTAAGTTCATTTGTACGAGATAGTTGTGAAAATGAGTTTTCTTAGTTATAGTCGGGTCTTAGGGAGACTGATTTTCTACTCCAAATGTAAAAGGAAATATGTTTCTACATTTACATATGAGTAATAAGAAATCTATGACATTTATCTTTGAAAACGATGGCCAAATAGTGTAGGCCCTCTGTTCACATGGAAATAACCTACACAAAATGACTTAGTTTATAGTGAATTCTTTGCTGTTGAGTTCATGGCACATAGTGACTGTGACTGTTAGCCTCCTAAGGCTGAGAGGAGAGTTTCACGTCAGATGGAAACAACCCTTGTTGTCTGTTAAAAATACATGAAATCTTCCTTCTGTTTCTTGGTGAATCAAGTAATTTTTCAAGTAGCTTTGCTTCTGGATGTGAAATGTTAACAGGGCTATAGCGGCCTTCATCACATCCCCAAGGAACAAGAGTCTTTTTGGTACATCCCCTTAGTCAAAACTGGACAGAGAAGTTAGGTACATGGGTGGAAAACTGCCAGAGCAAGATGTCAGGGAATTTACTGTGGTGCTGAAGTCCCCAGGACAATGGAGACAGCGCCTTTTCTAAGCTGGAGGTGGCACTGAGAAAACAGGTATCTAGACAGCCTGCCCAAACATGAGGGCCACTGGCCAAAGTATGAAGTCAAGTGTCGAGTATGACCACTTTTAAACTGCAGGGGGAAAGATGGATTAGAATTCCCCCTTGTCAGTGATACATGCAGAAACGTAAGAACTTCAAAGGTGTTTCTTGGTTTCTTTGACAATGTGAGATATAGTCAAGGTCTTCTGACTTTTTTCCCCATAACCCCATTAGATGTTGCAAGTAACAAAATGAGCCTTTTCAACTAAACTGGATGCCACTGCTTTCTGTTTGAGTCGTTTACAACTCAAGTAGCCATGGTTTATAGTGCATTTATTTTGAGTATGAATGCACAAAGCTTTAAGGGTTTACATTTTTATTCATTTTGAGCAAATGGGAGAGAGGGAACTTCCCATGGTTCCCCAGTTTTCTTACAGGAGTTGCAAATTTCATCTTCCGTCATCCAACAAGCAGAGCTTTTGGGAAAAGTTACTAGGAACTGCTTCATTTTAACATCATAATATGAATGCTGTATGGAAAAGATACAAAATTTGATTCACTATATTTGAACAAAGGATCAAGTTTAAATCCCTCCAAATTTTTCAGACAGTTGGTGCTGACAGTGTGAAACTCCTATTGCCTGCAGTGAAATTGAAGCTTGGGTTTCTCATGTGAACAAGCAATGAAGCTGGGATTATGCTTTGTTAAATCCTCATTTCAGAAATAGTTGCCCTCTACCCTGAAGCACTACCACACACAGTCTCCCCACCTGGCTTCAGCAAGTGCATGCATTGCATCTGGTTTTTCACTGCAGGGCAAACCTTGCTGGAACAATTGACTTCCTAGTAACTTGCACATTATAGAGCTTAACGTCTTTACAAATGAAAAATCCACTGTGCAATAACAAGCTGAAAGGAACTCGGAGGCTTCTTAGAAGACACCATGCTGAATTATAATTTGACTTACTGTGATAATGTTTCTTTGATTGATATAATAAGGAAAATACTGAGCTTAGTGGAAAACGATGTCTAAATTTGAAATTATGAAACTTGTCATAAACATTTTAGGTTGAACCATATGAAATCGCCAGGGTAGGTTTTTATCTACAAAAGGAAAATCCACCTGGTTCAATCTACTAATTCTGTATTTTATAGTCCAAGTATAACCTCTAGATAGCTTTCTGAGTGAAATGATGGAACTTCGATTTACAGACTTACATGCTTTTCTAATAATTACTGTATATTGTTAAACAAAACACTGATTAAAATACAAATCCCAAACTATCAAGTATTTAACAGCCTGGTCTTAAAAATATATTGTAAACAGATAGTTAAACTAGCTGGCTTATGTTCACATGTTTCCTCATTTGGCACCAAAAATGTTTCTTTTTTTGCATGTATGCAGGAGTAAGAAGTATTACGTGGGGAGGGGAAATTCCCAAATGATTTAACTGCTTTTTACAGAAAACCGAGAATTGCACAGAACAGTCCCCTATGAGGCAGGAAAGGTCGCCTCAGATGCCTTGACATTCAGGAGTGGCAAGGACCTTAGGCCGGCCACACCTTAAGACCCACCCAGCCCTTGGATAGTGTCCCCTTCCTCATGTCCCCTCAGGTTGCCATCCACTGCTAAAATAAAAACCTCTGGTCTTGGGAAGCCCATCTTAAGTCAGCTCATCCCTTTTTTTTAGTTAGTCAACTAAAAGGATTTCCCCTCATTGAACTAGAATCTGCCTCCCTAGAATTTCAACCCCCTGGCCCTGCTTTGAAGCCTTGAAGTCTAATGGAATAAATGTAATCCTCTTCCAAGTAAAGGACCTTCAGATATTTCAGGTCAGGTCCTGCCACAGAACTCACCTTCGCTCTTCCAATGTCTCTCTTGAACCGAGTGGGGTAAAGGACTACCCTTTTCTCCTCTTGAAGTCTAGACCCCTGGAAAGCACTCAGATTTCCTCTAGTGGGGTAAAATCGTGTTCCTCCAGCATGTTCTGATCTTAGACCCCAGAAACCACCTGTCTATAATAAGGAGGGTTGTTCCATGATGACCTTAAGGTACTGTTCCAGCATGAAATATTTGTAACTGTTACTTTAGATGCTAACTCCATAGAATGAGTGTCATTATTTTCACAAGCGGCAAAATGGGGAGAAAGCAGGTTCCGTTGACTAATACGGTACTTCTCAACTTGGACATTTGCATACTGCCTCCCAATTTTTACCATTTCTGAGTATCCCCTGTACTATTGTTACTTAACAGCTTTCTTCGAATCAACTTACTTATTCCACTTGAATAATTTATTTTGAAAGGAAACGTTATATCAGCATAAATACAAAACATTGTCCTTAGTCATAAAAAGAATGTAATCTTTCACACAGATATTTTACTGGTTATATTTATACTTAAATACATACTGTTTTAGAGAACATTATTTAAAAGTCTGCACACCATCCCAAACCATCTGAAGGATCCCACATAGTAGTCTGGAGAAAGCTCTTTGGAAAGACCACACCAAAGGGCTAGTCCTGCTACTCAGAGTTTAAGGAACCTTGTCTTGGAAACCATCCTTGGGTCCACAACAGTTTATAACTCAAAAGCAAGTTAGTGGAAGTTAATCCCATGGTGACCTAATAATAAAAAAGCCAGCATTTGTTGAGCATTTACCACATGCCCCATACTTTTCATACTTTTGAGTCTTATTTTCTAATTCCTGAACTTAATACTAGAGTAGATCACTTTACTAGTGAAATCTATATTTATATAACCTTGGGCAGGGGTTATCGATCAACTCGTACCAATCATTTTCCTTGGAAAGAAAAAATAGCCTCAGGCTGTAACCCAAGGTACTAAATGACATGAAGATTGAAAATTTGTCCCAGGGATTTTATCACTGTGAATCAATAATCCAAAAAAGTCAAGACCAGAAAAATGTACTTGGAGATCTGTGTTCTTATGGTGGGAGATGTACGTGTAAAAGTTATTCCTTTTTGAATCCCCCCTCTTTTCCTCCAGCATTCTCCCTACCCACAAAATGAAAACACACACAGGTACAGATTTTAAAACAGTTTATAAACTTTTCAATGATACAAGTTATCATGTTGCATAGTGAACTGCCTTCATGTCTGACAGGGTGTGTTATGTTTGTATTTTACACTGTTGTGGTTTCCTGTCTGTGAGCCTTGGGGAACCTTTTAAAAGACCTCCCTTGGTTGAGTCTCAGAAGCTTCAGGAAGTACCAACATCAGAAGGCTGTTATGCAGTTACTTGCTCTGAAAACTACCTAACTCTTTCCTCTGTGTGTGCTTTGGATAGATCTTCCTCCTCCTCAAACTCTCCCCATATCCTGGGCCATTCACTGTGAAATCCCATCTCATTCACAGTCTAGGTGGATGATGCTGGAATGAATGGGCATCAAGATTTCCTCAGGGAGTCTGCCCCAGCCCCACCTGAGCCTATTGAATTAAAGTCTAACAGGGAGGAGCCTAGGAATCTAGCACATCAAAGTTTTGAGAACCACCAATTTGATTTAATCCCTTCATTTTTCAAAAGGGGGAACTGAGGCCCAAAGAATTGAAGATCCAACCATCTCAGAGCCAAGACTAGATTGTTCTTCCTAGCTTCTTCCTGGGAGAGCAGATCCTCAAGATATTCAAAAACCTGTTCAAACCTCGATGGCCTGAACTTTGCCAAGAAGAGTTTGACATCCTTTACCATGTGACATCTTTTAATGTTTCCCATTTTGCTAGATCATTTAGACTGTGGTCACTTTCCTTGCCATGGAATCCTTCTACTTCTTCCCAATAAATAGCAGGTGGTAGCACCACTACAGAAATCCAAAGCCAGCTGTAACCAGTACCCAGGAACCTAGAGTTTGATATGCTCTCTAAAAGCAAAACTAGTGAGACCCAACCTGTAAAGGGCAAAATTTGCCACATGAAGAGAGGCTGTAGTGTTAAAGATACAGGCTTTAATGCAGTTCTGGGTTCAAGTCCAGATTTGCCATTTCAGTTTTCTCATCTGCACGGTGGGGATGAAACTACTGCAGCATCACTTTCTCAGGGTGGTTGAGGAAAGAACGTGAGAGATGGATAAGAAGCACTGTGCAATGCCTGGCACAGAGTAAACATGCAGTAGAGGTTAGCTGGTGGTGGTGGTGATGACAGCTCTAAATAGCCTACCTGGGAAAATGGGAAACTTCCAAACCCATTCAATGGCTGTATCTAAACTAAATACAAAGAAAGCCATAACTTTATCAACTGCAATAAAATTCTAGCTGGAGTTACATCAGCTTAACAGACTAGGCAGTCAGCTTGGAGCTGAGGAAAAGGGAGCCACTCAATCCTTCAACAAATTGCCGTTAGACCCGTACCAGGCGCCAGGCTCAGATCTCAGGGCTTTGCAGACATCAGCTCATTTAACCCTTACAACAACCTAATGAAGGATACTACAAATCTCATCCTTGTTTTAAAGATAGTGAAACCGAGGCCCAAAGAAGTTAAATAACTTGTCCAAGATAACATAATTAATTGATGGTGGAGACAGGATTGTCACCCAGACCTGTCTGCCTCTGGTGTCATGGGCAGTAAGATACACACTCAACTGATTGCCAACAGGATTTCTCTCTTCCGCCAACTCTTTAAAAGCACACATACTTACAACCCCTCCAGTTCTTAAAATGATATTTTAAAAGAGGGCCTAAAAGCAAATAACTTCCCTTTATAGAACAGTGAGGAAGACTGGTCCTACTAGTCATTTCCCAGGTATGTGTGCAGATGAAACACACACACTGATGCCGTTCCAAGCTGTATTCGCAGCTCCATGCTTTAAAATCATTTTGTGGGTGTTTTCAGCTGGCCCTCTTTCCAAAACAGCTCTCACAGCATACCTGATGAACTATAATTATCACCGAAGTATGGAGCTTAACAACAAAGGGTGAGCAGGTGGGAGAACTTCTAAAGGATCCCACTATGATCCTATCTGTTTCTAAATACTCTGAGACCCATTGAACACAGGTGCACATCAGCAGTAGGCGTGGGGCACCAAAGCAGGGGGCCGACGCATGTGAAGCCCAGGACACCGTGTTTATCGGGATAGCTGACTTGCTGTTGGCAGCAGCCAGGCTAAGCCAAAGGAGGTCCTGTGCGGGGCTCCTCTCTTACTAGAGTTGTTGTAGCAAGATTGTTTTTCATTATCACCACCCACTTGGAAAGTACATTTTCTGATTTCCCACCTAACTTCCCAAGGTAGGTCTATAAACCAGGGGAAGGTGGATAGTTGATGGATGCACATGAAAAAAAGCAAGCCAGCCTGTCCTGCTGAGGCCCGAGTTTTTCTAGGTCAGTGAGACTGGGGTGTCCTGCTGTCAGGCTAATTAGAGCTGGAACACACAGCGTAGCTGGATAGCCTGAAATGAAACACAATTTACTTATACATGACTTGCCTTCTTAGAATCAAGGAACAGAGAGGGCCCCGAGCACTAGGCTTGTCTGACGGGTAACTCCCTCTTCTCCAGCAGATATAGTTCCCTGATGCGAGTTCCCTGCCGTAGTGGGAGGAGATGGGCTGTTTTCTGACTGACTCTGGCCAGAGATAGAATCCCCAGTCTGACGGCGTCCCTGTGGTAGAGCCTCCCACCTGGAGGGCAGACAAGGGTGCCACTCCCCAGGGGCCTGTGCCTGCAGCGCTCCCTACAGGACGGTAAGAACTGGATGCAGGAAGTTAGGACAGACCGGCCCTTTTCCCTGGGGCTGAGGGGGCATTTCAGTACTCAAAATGGGAAAGACCTGGGCAAAAGGAGACCAGCCGGACCCCCTATCAAATAAAGGGGGACCTAAAGCTGGTGCAGGGGGTGGGATGGGGACCCTTCTCCATTAAGCTGTCTTCACCTTATGGTTGAAGTCAGGGAATGGGGGGTGGGGTAGGGGGAAAAGCACAGACCAGGATTCTAAGGCAAAAGGTGCCAAGACTAGCCAGGAGAGAGAAGTAATCTACTGAACAAAGAGGCCCTCTGCCCTGAGTCAGAGCCCCTTGGCCCTAAAGCAGAGCAATATGTCAGATTCTGCAGCCCAGGCTAGGGACAGAGCAGCGGTGGGTAACTTAATGTTTCCTTGTGAGCTATGAATCCTTCTTTTGACTTTTCATTCCCTCAACAAACAACTACTGAACATCTATTATATGCCAAGAGCCCTCCGAGGCACCAGTAATAAAGATCCAGTACAACAAGTCCCCTGCCTTTCATCTGGTAGAGGAGAGATCTGTACAAACAGTCCGAGTCCAGTGGTTAAGTGCCGCATGAATGAGAAAATGTACCCAAATGTGCCCTGCAAATGCCTTTGCTTACTGAGCAGTGGGGTGCTCCTTTTCATGAGCACCTGAGCAAGGCAGGATCATGCCCAGGGCCCAGGCAAGGGGGAGCCTGGAAGGGAGAGTAGAAGTTACTTAAATCCTGCTGGACTCCAGCAGCAAGACCATGTTCCCTGCCTGCCCCCCAGGGACGGACAGAGCCCTGGAAAGCAGTGATCATCTCAGGCTGACGCATTTCAAACCAAATTTCCAACCACAGGAGGTGGATTAAATAAATTATGATCCTACAAGGTGTATTATATGTTAACGATGGTGAGAAAGACTATGTGGCAACATGGGGCAATGCACGTGCTCTCAGATCAGGTTCTTTCAAAAAGCAGATGTGTATCAGGATCATACCCGGATGCAGTTAAGGATGTGTCCAGACAAAGGCTGGAAGGGAAAACACAGAAACTGGATCCGGTGTGTCTGTGGTAAGATTAGGGGTGATCTTTTATTCTTCTCTTTTCAAACCTGGGTTTAACATAGTTAAATTATTTTATAACAAACAAGGAAAAATATCTTTAATGTTATGAAGTTCACATGTACTACACTCTAATGAAAAATACAGCTTAAAGAAAAAAACAGCACTGCTTTAAATTAGACCTGTTACAAAAGGGAGAAAACAGCAGTCCTGGATTAACACATTTGAAGTAACCCAGGACAAGAAGAAAAAAAAAGGTTTGCACGGGGGAATTAGTTCTCCTTCCAACTCATGGGGCTTAATTATTTTGTCCATCTACCCACCCTGCTGGTGCCAGAGGTGGCGTCGGAACACCCAGGCCAGAAGCAAGTACGCCAAGCAAAGAATGCAGGATTTGCAGAGCTGCCCGCAGGCAGGCTGGGAGATATAATAAGAGGCTGGTGTCCTCCCAAGAGATGATCTTGGAAGGATAACAAATCCAGGCTGCCACTGAAATGAAAACATGGAGACTGATTCAGTAGCCAGGCCAAGTGGCAGCTCCTACAGTGCTCAGGGTGTGTGTGGATGACTAAGAGGGACAAGAGGCCAGCAGGACAGGTTCCTAGCTGTTGAGGGCCCAGCTCTAGGGATCTGATGTGGATCCAGTGCCAAGGAGAGGCGGCCCCCTGCACTGCCCCCTCCCCAGCACTTACACACCGCAGGTTGCACCCACCTGCTCTGTAGGACTTCAGAAAAGGCTTGAGATGGTTCATGTAAGTTTTAAACAGGATGCTTCCTGTTCATCAAGTTTCAAGACCAGGTCATCAGTGAAGCCCCATGACATTAACTCACCAGCACTCCTCCCAGGACCAGAGGTGTCCCCTGGGCAAGGCTGGGCCTGGCTCCTGGGGAAGGAAGGAAGACTTAGCTAGTAGGCAGTGTGAGTGTTGTTGAATCAGCCCTGCACTGGCGCTTTTGGAAACACGGTTCTGGGGTCAAGGGTGGCCACCCTGGGAGGTTGCCCGGCACCTCTGCTCCTTGTCATTCACCCCATTTGCTGTACCCAAGAAAGACAGAAGAAGCTGGAATATACCTGGGTAAAGCCCTCCTGGTCTCCGTAAAAACAAACCCCTACAATGCCAGGCCCATGGTTGTGATGACTTCTGCCCCTTCCTCCAGCTCCAGACCAGCAAACCACTCCACGCGTCCCAGTCACCCTGGCTGAGGGCCCCTGAGCCTCCAAACTGATCTTGATGAGATTTCAGCTTTCCCAGAACCCAGGGGGAGTTTGCTTTGAATGTTTCTTCCCCACTCTGCCCCCAGGCTCTTCCTCAGAAACAGACAAACTGCTTCTTCTCCAGAAAAGAAGGTAGTAAACAGAGGAGTCAGAGCCAAATCTTTTCCTCTTTTTCATTCAATACCTACCGAGAGTTGAATAGACAGCCCGGTGATGGGGCACACACGGCGATGAGGGAGACCTGGGCCCAGGCCTGAGGAGTTGGAATCTGGGAGTCAGAGACATGGGGGGACATGCACTGAACACCCCTGGCAGGAGGCACAGACAGGGTCCCGTGAGCCGGGGTGCCCAGAGGTCGGAGACAGCGCTCCTGCAGAGGACACCAGGGGAGGCTCCATGGAAGGGCGGGGTCTGAGCCGGTCCGGAAGGGCAGTGGGAAGTGGGGAGAAGGGCATTGCAGGGGGCGGAAGGTCCTGAGGCGAACTGCAGAACAGAGGTCAAAAGGAGCAGCCAAAAGCCGGAGGGATGAGGGGCCATTGGGAGTGGGGAGGTTTCTTGGGGGAAGGGGGCGGGCAGTTTCCTGCACTGTGATCCCACAGACTTGTTCTCTGTCCTGGCGCTTTGGTTTTTGGTGGCCAGTGGTTTGATCTCTGTCAAACAAAGGGAGGAACACCCCTTCCCTCCCAGCAACCCCTATCCCCAGCTGCTCCTCCGGCCCCAAGCTCCCCAACCCCACCAAGCCACAAGCCACAGGGGCAGGAGAGGGCCACCAGGATGTCCCCTCCCCAGCAAGTTCCCTGTCAACCCTCCATGTCCCATCCCCTTATTCTCAATTCAACTAGACTACACTACAGAGTCTTCCCCGAAGGTCAATGGGAATGGTGGCCTGAATTCCCTGGGACCATCCTAATTGCTTTAGTCCCCTGGGAACCTCACACTGGCTAGATCGTGTGTTGCTAATTTTCAGTGCAGAGCCCGTGGTCCCAAGAGACTCTGGGTCAGGATGTGGCATCAGGGTTCCTACATGAGGCCACCTCAGTCGCCTCTAGCACTCTCCTACCTTGGCCCCTCCATTCAGCCCCGGTATTGTGTTCGTGTCCATATCTGTCTACACCAGGGCCCTGCAGTCTCTAGGAGAACAGAGCCTCATCCCATTTGCCTCCTGACCCTCCCCACCTTCCCACCCACTGGCCTGTGGTACGTACAGAGCTGTCAGTGAAGTTGGCTAAAGCCACAAGAAAGGTTGGGGACGTGCCCACTGGACTTTGGGGAAAACACCCTTCTCATGGCAATCACAAGCTCTCAAATCCCCCGGTTTTGGGGGAAGGGGGTCCCCAGCATCCAGGAGAGTCCTGCAGCTGGGAGAGATCAGCAGGTGGTGTGACTCAGTGCTGGGGAGCCCAGCAACTCTGTCTTCTGTGGCCAAAGAGCGCCACCCAGAGGCCAGGCAGTCAGCTCCGATCCCTGTTCACATAGATCTTTCTCTGCCAGGCATGGATGAGCTTCCACCCAGCTTTCCTGAAGAAACTCTGACACCTTAGTGTCTCTCCAGAATGGCTCTGAAGAATTACCTCCTGCTCCCGGAATAGCCAGTCCCCAGCCCTTGCTTCCAGTCCCAGGATTGCCTGAGGGAACCTCACACTGGCTAGATCGTGTGTTGCTAATTTTCAGTGCAGAGCCCGTGGTCCCAAGAGACTCTGGGTCAGGATGTGGCATCAGGGTTCCTACATGAGGCCACCTCAGTCGCCTCTAGCACTCTCCTACCTTGGCCCCTCCATTCAGCCCCGGTATTGTGTTCGTGTCCATATCTGTCTACACCAGGGCCCTGCAGTCTCTAGGAGAACAGAGCCTCATCCCATTTGCCTCCTGACCCTCCCCACCTTCCCACCCACTGGCCTGTGGTACGTACAGAGCTGTCAGTGAAGTTGGCTAAAGCCACAAGAAAGGTTGGGGACGTGCCCACTGGACTTTGGGGAAAACACCCTTCTCATGGCAATCACAAGCTCTCAAATCCCCCGGTTTTGGGGGAAGGGGGTCCCCAGCATCCAGGAGAGTCCTGCAGCTGGGAGAGATCAGCAGGTGGTGTGACTCAGTGCTGGGGAGCCCAGCAACTCTGTCTTCTGTGGCCAAAGAGCGCCACCCAGAGGCCAGGCAGTCAGCTCCGATCCCTGTTCACATAGATCTTTCTCTGCCAGGCATGGATGAGCTTCCACCCAGCTTTCCTGAAGAAACTCTGACACCTTAGTGTCTCTCCAGAATGGCTCTGAAGAATTACCTCCTGCTCCCGGAATAGCCAGTCCCCAGCCCTTGCTTCCAGTCCCAGGATTGCCTGTCTGCAAATGAGAGAAAACTGCAGCTCAGAATTCTGCCTCCCACCTGGGGGAGCTCTAAGAATCAAAAGGGCCATCCATGAAAGGGGCAAGCTACAAAAAAGGACAAGATGCTGCTCAAACCCAAGGGGGTTTTTGGTTGTTGTTTGCAAGGCAAGAGGTGTTGTAAAAAAATTCTGCCCTCCTGTTTTCACTTCCTCTTCTCTCTCTCTTTACCCTTGGAAGGGGAAAATCCTGCAAAGATTAGCAACTGATGTACAAGTACCCAAACAATGTTCTCCTAGTTGTATTTTAACTATCTTCTGGCAGCAGCCGCGTGCATGGGTTCTGACATTCTAGCCTCAAGGCCTGGAGGAATCGCTAGATGAGGACAAAGTGTGCAGGTGGAAATGCCCCCTAGTCCAGTGGGCGCCATGCTGTCTTGTCAAAGGGATTCCAGCATGGCATGGATGCCTCCGAAGGGTAAGCTCTGTTCTCATATTCAGGCAGCCCTGTTGAAGACATTGTCTCTATGTTATGTTAGACTACATGGGCCTGCCATCCCCTGGTCCTCAGCAGAAGCGGGCGGTATTTCAGTGGTACAGAGAACCCAGGAATGTCCTCATCCTGCCCAGCCTGCTCCCCAGTCCACAAGTTCCCAAGGGAGCCAGACCGAGGAACCGACTCAAAATGGGAATCGGAGTCCCCAACCCGTACCAGTACCATAATGTCACCAAGCTCTGGGAGTACTCTTACCTTTAGTGGGTTTAAAAAGAACACATTTCTGGCTGTACATTTACTACAGTGCCAGGCCCTGGGGTCAGTAAAGCTGGGAGTGAACTTAGCTAGCTCACTAGTGAGTGAAGGGCTAGCGAGAGGGAAGGACATGTTCAAGGGGCTTGCATAGTGGGGGCTGTAGGCACGAGGAAGTGCGGCTGGAAGGTGGCCCAAGCACGCCTTTGAGAGACACCAGGCCTTTACACGTGCTGCCCGAAGGCTTACCGCAGCCCCAGCCCCAGCCCAGTCCGACACATGCCCACCCTGCCATCAAGATGCAGCCCACCCCTGTCCCCCTCTGTGAAGCTCTTCCCAGCACCTCTACTTCCAGGTGGAGTGGGGTGCTTCCCATCTGTGGTTTTAACAGTGTTTCTCCTTTTGGACGGTGTGATCCCAATCTGAGTCACTGTGGCTGGCTCCCGATGGGCATTAAAGAAATTGCTGACTGTGTGTCCTCATTGACTAGTTTATCACAGAAGAGGGGCTGGGTAAATGTTTCTTGAATGAACAAATGAACAAATGAATGAATGTACGATTGGCATGTATAGTGTGGGGGGGACACGAGGAGAGCTGTACAACACAGCGAAGACAAGTAGTGATTCTACAGCATCTTACTATGCTGATGGACAGTGACTGTAATGGGGTATGTGGGGGGGACTTGGTGATGGGGGGAGTCTAGTAACCATAATGTTCCTCATGTAATTGTAGACTAATGATAGCAAAAAAATAAAAATAAAAAAATGAATGAATGAATATCAAGTGGTTATCAGGCTCGCATGTGGCTAGACCTTAGGACAGGCACCCTACCTTACATCACTCTTGTCCCCATAGGGCTTCACAGTGAAGCCACCACTTTACTGGAACTACTAGCTCACTCAACCTTTGAGAATCACTTAGTGAACAAATATTTACTGAGCTCCAACAATGTGCCAGGCTCAGTTCTCTGCCCTCAAGGAGTTTACATTTGATAGGGAATGAGACACCCTGCTTTTTGTGTCATATACACATTTATCTTTCACCTTCACACCCTTTTTTGACCACCCAGGACCCTGGACTTCAGCATTTAGGGGGCTAGTGATGTCCCGTGTCCTTGCAGGAGAAGCTGCGTCCTTGGGAAAGGATAGCAGATGAGTGACTCATGAGGCAACCAGAGGAGCGAAGTGGTGCCGTTTGGGCCCCAGTGACAGGGGCAGGGGAGGTGCCACTTGCTTGCTGGCCCTCAGTCTCACTCTGCAGCCACTGACAGTGGGGTGGAACTGGCTGTCCCATTGTGATTAAAGTGAATTAAGTAGAATCAGCTTTCCTCACTAGATGGCACAGAAATCCTGATGGCCACCCTCGCCCCGGGCACCTCGCTACCTGGGGCCTTCGGTGCTTCGTCCTGGATTGACTCCTCCGGCACATCATCCCCTTCTCTAGCTGCCCGGTTCCCTGGCACATGCAGTTTTACAGGCATTTGGAGAGGGGCGCCAGCCTCCAGGATGACTGCCTGCTGGACTGTGGGTGCTGTTCTTAGGCAGCGTTTCCCACTTTCCTGGGTGGCATGAGTACCTCACGAGGCACTGAAGGTGGGTGCCAAAAGACACCAAGAAACTCACTAACGCAGAATGCGGGGGCGTGCACCTGCCTTAGAGACCTGGCCTGTGTGGTTTGCCTACAAAGCTAGGTGCACATGCAGTCTCAACAAAGATTCATTTTTTGGAAAAAAAAGATATAAGCTGCACGGAAAGAACTATCTATTTAAAGTAATCATGTGATGAATTGCTGCAAAATGACAGATAGCACCTCTTTTATGGCAAATGATCTTGGGTTTTTATGATGTGGATTTGTTAAAGGTTTGAAGCAAATTGCATCCTTCGCAGATTCACTTTTCCTAGGTCCTCCCTGAAGTTGAGGGGCAGACAGCTCCTACAAGAAGCAATAATTTACATAACCCTGTCCGTACCCACAGCACTAGGGTGTAAGTACTTACCGGAAGAAAGCCTCACAATTTCCCCAATCACAGGGAATCCAGAGGATGGTGTTGGCAAATGAAAATGATATGTGCTCCAGATTTCATAGTGAATAAGCAATAATCCTCTTCATTCTCTTCTCATTTCTGCCAGTGAAATTGAGAACAGCAGGCCTGCTTTCTTCTCTTCAATGCCAACTGATGAAATCACCTCCAAAATGCAAGCCATAAACAATAATTCTAAGCAGAAACCACGGAAGTGTCCACTTTACCCTGCAGCTGGGGAGGGAGAGGCGCCAATCAGCATCAACACCAGGTCAAAGAATCAGATTGGATTGGGTGTTAGGTTGAAGA